TTTCCCTACCTGGATTTGGAGTTCTGGATGAGGGACCAGTTGAGGGAAGGCACGACGATTTTTGTGGAATCCTTCTCGATTTAAGAACTACCAGTGCCTTTTGGGGTCCTCTTAGAAGGGGAAGAAGCTGAGATAATTCTCATCACCATGTTTAGCTGTAACTGCTGAAAAGTTGTCCCCAACTTCCCTTTTCTGCAGTTAGTTAACTCTGATGCTCAGTGTGTGAATCTGTGGAAATTTTCTCCCATTTCACCCCCAGGCACAACTAGGCTCTGAGCTAACTTCAGGAAGATGAGCTTTCTGTTGATTGTATTCTTTTAAAAAGTACTTATGAGGCATCTTCCATGCCAGTTAACTTGTAGGGTGTTGTTTACAAGGGTCTTTTTTTTTTTTTTTTCCTGTGGTCAGTGGAAGAGTTTGGGGGCCTGGCAGACCAGGACTTGCCTCCTGGCTTTACCTCTCACTGACCAGCTCTGTAACCCTTGATGACAGATCACTGACCTTTCACTTTTTTTAAATCTGTAAAAATGTGAAAATGAGTCACCTTGCTTTGTGGTTGCTGTTGTGTCAAATAGTGTTCTTTTGGTTGCAAATCTTAGACAACCCAAACAAGAGTAATTAAATAATAAGGGGTATTGCATCTCCCCAGGCAAGAAGTCTGGAGGTAGAAAGAATCTAAAATTGCTTGACTTGGCAGTTCAGGGATCCAGGTGTTTTCTCTCATTCCCCTCATCAGCCATCCTCAGCAGGTGGGTCAGTTCTTCCCTCCTTGTCACATAGTGGCTGCAGCAGCTCCAGGCATCATGGGTAGATCAGCTGAAGTCCAGCAAAGCAGGATGGTGTTTCCTTCCGTCTGATTCCTTTTTATTAGTGAGGAAGCGCTTCCCCAAGAGACCCCTTGCAGACTTGTCCTTCATTTTAGTCTGCATCTTTTAGGTCCCCTGGGTCCTAAGGCAAGGATTAAACTGCTAATGCTTAATTGGGAAGTCAAGGCCTAGTGAGGTCAAGATGAGGGAACAGAAGGGGGAGTGAGGCCAAAAAGACATGAAGCCATGTGATGTAGTGTGTTATCCCTCTGGCTACTATTTCATGATGAACCTCAAAAAGATACCAGCTGGTGTGTATGCCTGGCACATAGGGCCTTCTTTGGGAGGGTTGCCAGGAGAAACTGTACCTGGATTTGTCAAAGAAGCACACTGATAATATCTCTTGAAATTAATTTTTAAACCTTCCCTAAGTCCTGGTACATTTCTCGCCAGTTGCTTTACCCTGGAAGGTAGTGTAGCTAGTGGTTTAGGACACAGACTCTGGAGTCAGACTGCCTGGGTTCAGATCCAGGTGCTGTAGCTCACCAGCCCAGTAGGGACCTGTGCCTCCCTTTTAGTAATGTTTGGAGGATTAAGTGAGTTAATATCTGAAAGCACTCGGGACAGTGCCTGGCAGAGTCAGTGCTCTGGGCATATGATTTTAATCTTTGGAAACGTACCTTTTTGTCATGACCATGATTCTGGAACTTTCATCTGTAGAACTCAGAGCTCTTTGACACGTTGTCCTGTGTAGTGACTATCAGCCACTCAATGTTTACTGAGTCTAGGACTGTAAAGGACACAGATTGAGATGCACAGACACTCTTCACCTTCATGTATGCCCTCAGTGAGTGGTACCTACCCTAGGGCATCCTCCATCTGTCCTCCTCTCTCCCTCCGCCATGGCCTCCTGTGACTTGGAGCCTGTCTGCTTTAGCTCTAGGGCTTTAGCACAGCACTTGACACGTGCAGGTGTGCGAGAATCGCTTGTTAAATGAGTTGTCAGTACTTTCTACCTTGAAGTACCTTTTTACAGACATGTCTTATTTCCTTTACTTTCCTGTAAACAGTTTGAGGACAGGACCCAGATCTTTCATGTTTTAGGCAACATTTGGTTGGATGGTTGGATGACTGAATGGATTCCAGGTGAGGACACAACACATAGATGCCCAGGCAGAGAGATAATAACATTGCAAAGGGCCAGGATATACCATCCTAAGGTCATGAGGTTATGTAGTTTAACGTTTTCCAGCTAATGGGCAAAAAAAAGTTTGCTGCCCTGTGCTACTTAACTAGCAACTGACTCCTTTTTCACCCTCTCTTGTGGTCCATCCTGGATGACGTGGATTGATGCATAGCGTAGATTGAGGGGCAGCGCCTGGAGGGAGGAAGATGAGCTGGAAAAGTTTAGGCCTGAGATGAGGAGGGCTTGAGGGTACAGTGCAGTGGTGGGAATGGAAAGTTTGAGAGAGGGGGTGAGTAGGAAAGGATGTCAACAGGGCTTCCCGTCCCCCCCGCCCCCCCGGCGGCTTGCAGGGAGTGAGGAGAGGAAGAGTACTGGATTCCTTTGAGTACTGGTACCTGGGTCACTGGGAGACAGGACAAGGGCCAGGCCCCTCCCCCCACCCGCTTCTGTCCACCTATCTCATGAGATGAAAACTAATGTTGTTCTTATCTTCTCCATTTGATAAATGCAAATTTTCAGGATAAGCGGAAGGAATACTGGTCTGGGTAAATCAGGCTCCTGGGACCTGACTGGCCTTGGCCTTGGCCTTGACCTTGGCCTGAGCCTTGCTGTGGGAACTTGGACAAGTTTTTCCCTTCTCTGGGCCTTAGGGGTTGCCTCCTTTCCAAAATGAGAGGCTCATTCTTTCCTTCCGTGGCACTTATTGCGTGCCTACCGTGTGTAATATTCTAGGCACGGGCATAGACGTGGTTTCTGTTCTCATGGAGTGTGCATTTCAGTTGGAGGAGACTGACAGTAACTGAGGTGAATGCCGGGAGCAAACTCACCAGTGATGTGATGGAGAGTGAGTGGGGCTAATTTCCATTGGTTGGTTGGACACGGACTCCATGAAGAGGTGGCATCTGAGGCCACGGTCTGGGAAGGTCTGGGGGCAGAGTGTTTTTGGAGAAGGGAATCAATACGTAAAGGCTCCAAGGGAGAATCAGCTTCAAGAACATTGTAAAGGGTGTGAGAGGCTATGAGATCAGAGAGGCCACATAGGCTGTAGTTAAGAGGTTGCATTTTATTCTAAGTGTGATGGGAGGTTGGAGGACGCTTTTTTCCACTGGAGTCCCTTTTGATTATTTTCTTCTTTACAAGGACCATACTTTGAAATATGAACGAACAATCTTGAAATATTTTAGGTTTTTAAAGTGTGGGGAAATAATATATGGCTCATGATAAATATCTTTGAGGATCCCCAGGGATTAAAGATGGCAGACTGAGATACTGTCAAGCAGACAATCTTTAAGGTCCCTCTGTTTCAAACATTTATTCTTCTGAAAGCTGATTGCCATATGATTTTTAAAAAAATGATGACTGCCACCTACTGATAGAAGAAGAATTTTTGCACAGTGAAAATCTCAAACCCGGTGGATTTCTTCTGTCACGCATCTGGCTTTATACCCTCCATTTCTCGACCTGAAGTGGCTCTGGGGAAGGGGTGATGGGGTGATGGTCCTGCTTTCCTTTCTTTCTGACCCAGGGAATCTCAACTCTTGTTTTGATGTTCTTCTGCCTCTGTGCACAGTGTAGCGACAGGCAGGAGTGCTGACCTGGGGAGTTGCTCTTGTTGGATGTTTCAGTGGGAAAAAACACTGCCAACAGTTGTCTGGTCTCCATTGTTTGTAGTTGACCTGTGGTTACACTGAATTCCCCTATTCAGTGGCCCTACACCCTAACCCTGGCCAACAGGCCTTTGCCTAATGTATTTAACACCCTGCCCCAGTTATTAAATTCCCAACTGCTTTATTTCTGATTTGCATTTGCCGTGGCTGAATGAATCTGCTGACTTCCGTTTTCTTTTTCTGTTACAGATCGTGTGTACAGGTGACTGTAAGTACCACATCCCATTCCACTCTTACGTTGTTCGCTACTGCCTCCCGATGGACACAGCAACATTAACAGCAACGTGAAAATCACAGAAAATGCTAATTTGCTAAAACTTGCTTAGTTTCCAATTTTTCTTTAGAAGTGGGGTGAGGGTGAAAATAGCAAGTGAAAGAAAAATTTTTTTATTTGTGCAATCCTGACAAATAAAAAATAATTTTTCTGTGATTTTTTTTTCTAGCCTACATCTGTAGGTGATCAAAAAAAACCCACTTAGTTTTCATAATGCAGTATCATTTATATTTATTTCATGTACTGTTATCCCATAATTCTTGTGTTGCTACATTACCACATGATTTTTAAAATGGTGTACAGGCTTTGCATAACCTTTGGAAAACCAGACGTAGCCTCCTGGATATTTTGCTTCCACGTGGAGGGCTGAATCCCAGTTGCTGGTCCATTGAAGTCCTCCCAGGTCTATAGTAAAATGAGAAAAATAGGGACAGTATAATAAGTTTTTTATGAAACTAACTATATTCAGTTGAAATCACCATTTATTCTGGGATTATGTCCTTACTAATTTTTTGGATCATAATTCGTTTCTTTAAGAAATAAAATTATTTATTTCTATAAGAAATAAAATTAATAGTATTTGGTAATTTTTTAATGTACGTTTTTGAAAAAATAAAAACTGGTAGCTTTTGTCTGTCCTCAAAATTCAAAGACTATTTTTTTTTTTTCCTGGTTGGTAAAACCTCAAAGTCTGTGAACCATAGAGATAAAATAATTAGAATGTTCTCACAGTGACGTACAAAGGGGGCAGACCTTGCTGAAACCTTCTAATAAAGAAAAGCTCAGTTAATAACAGTAATTATGCAAAGCCTGTGCAAACAATAGAGAGTTCGACAATTGCTTTTTCTTCCTTGTTAATCAGTTTGGTAAGTAAACTGGAAGGTTCCTTGTGCAGGCTTGAATCACTGGTGCAAGGGAAGAAAACATCTGTGTGTAGAGGTGATACTGTAAAGTGGGGAAAGGGAGATGAGGGAACTATTATGCGTTTTAAAAATTATAATAAAAAAGTCTGTTGTATGGCTGGTATATGGTGGGAGGTGCCATTTTATTAGCTTGTATTTCATTCTTCTTTCCTGTGTTCTAGGCTCGCGCTGTGATCTGGTTGAAATCACATCTACAGCCAGTGAAATTCAATTTATCAAGGCACCAGGAAACTTTTCAGTGATAAACGTAACGGATTTGAGTGGCCAGAGTCAGCAGTTTCCCCGAGCAGACAGTGATGGGAAGACTTCATTTTCAGGGCTGGTTCCTGGGATGCACTATCTTTTCACTTTTTCAAATGGCTCCAGTACCTGCTGCCAAGAAGTGCAAATACGTGAGTGAGGCTTTTCTTTTGGGATGGATTGTGGGTTTTAGAGAATGTCAGTGTCTTCACGTTTGAGCAGTACTACGATGGCGTAGTGGTTAAGAGCGCAGACCGAGAATCAGGGTCCCAGGTTTGCTTCCTGGGTCTGTCAGTGTTTCACTGTATGACCTGGGGCTAGTCACTGGTCCTCTTAGACCTCAGTTTCTTCATCTTTATTACCCCAAATACATACATATACACACACATAGTTTTAAAAGATATTTTAAGATGTACTTTGCTGAACTATTGAAAGTTAACAACTTCCTTTTCTAGGGAATTCCCTGGTGGTCCAGTGGTTAGGACTCCACGCTTTCACTGCTGAGGGTGCAGGTTCAATCCCTGGTTGGGGAACTAAGGTCCTGCAAGCCGTGTGGTACGGCACAAAAAAACAAACAAAAAACTGCTTTTTAAAAATCTTTCCCTGTATAAACAGAATCCCTGTATGAATCAACAAAATTTAGTTCTTGACATATTTCTCTTTCTTTAAAATGGTACCATAGCCTTCTTCAGGAAGTTGTTGTGAAGCATAAATGAGAAAATGTGTGCACAGCACCTGGCGCAGTACCTGGGACCCAGCCAGCACCCAGAATAGGACTACTGCTGCTTCTTGCTGCTCTCACGCTGTAACTGTGGCTATTGTTTTATCATTATCCTCACCACTATCATCACTGCTGATTGCAAATGGCACCACAACGATAACCTGCCAAAATGCTACTCTGACACTGTGAACCAGTTACTTTATAAAGAGCAGGTTCAAGTCTGAGGGGCTTTCTGGCATGAAGTTTATTGAATTGTGGGCCACCAGATTCTTCTGTGCCTGGTCCCTTTTCTTTTCTCTTGTTTCCTCTCCTGCCCTTCTTTGATTGGGTTAATGTTTGCATCTCCCAGATTCCAGGTCAGGCACACTCTCCATGCTGTCATTTGAAGGCCACATGCATGCTGAAATGGTGTTACCTGTACCACCTTTATTCTTCTGGGATAAGGCCCTGGGTCCTTATTACCTATGCAATAAGGGTAACTTCTGTTTCTAGTTGTTACTCCTCCATCTAGACTGTAATTAGGATGCATCCATTTTGAAGTTTTAGTTACTGTTAATAACCATCATGGCTTCCATTGTGTTAAGATCCTGTACATCTACGATTTGACAGATGATGAAGTGAGGTTCAGAGCAGTGAGATGACTTCGAGTACAATCACAGCATGGCCAGCAGGATTGGACTCTGAGCCCTGATTTGTGAATGTCCAAGTCCAATGACTTTGTTTACAATTTCAGGGTGCCTTAATAATAATCCTTTGTGTTTAAGAGCTGTCAGCAGAGGAACCTGAGACTGCGATGTTTTAAGGGACTAATTCCAGGTCACACAGCTAAAGGGCAGAGCAGTGCCTTACATCCAGGTCTGGATTCCAAGACCAGCTCTTTTCTCTTTATGCCATTCTGTCCTATGTCATCTTTTTTTTTTTTTTTTTTTTTTAATCCAGGAAAAAAGGAATTCCTTTGTGAGGATAAAACAGGTCAGATTCCTTCCCTCCTCCTGCCCTGTGGTCTGGCCAGGCACTCTCCTACCCAGGCCTCTCGGAGCTTTGCTGGGCATTCTGGAGGTGTCAGAGACCCGCGTCCCCTGCATCGGCAGGCGGACCCTCAACCACTGCGCCACCAGGGAAGCCCGTGTCCTATGTCATCTTTAGGCCAGAGAACTGTGGAGCTTCCTCCTAATATCTGGGTTTGGAAAAAAAGTTATCACATGCTTCTGCACTGTATATGCCTCTCCAGAAGCAGTGTTTTCTGAGAATCAGGAGATAGACTTATTTTGCGTCATAGGTCTCTTTTAAGTCAGCTTCTGTACAGATTTAGCTCCTTGTTCAAGTCACGGCCAACAAGGCCACCCTCTGTTATTTTTATCTTTGTTTTACAGCCTTCTGTTTCACTAACACACATGCATACATGTATATATGGGAATCTAAATGTATTTTGTTGGAGGGAAGTCCAGGAGGCAAATAAAGAGAAATGAAATTCTACGGTTGCAAAATTCACTTCTGGAAAGTAGACATACAGAGCAGTCCCTACTCTTACATTTCTTTTCGAAATATAATTTTTTTCTTTCCTTTTTTTGGGAAACAATATTAAAATAGAACCCAGTCCTACAGAAGCCGTTACCATCAGTCCAACCAGTGTGACCCTAACCTGGAAAAACGACACAGCTGGAGTAACGAGTACGATGGAAAATGGGCAGATGAGACTTGCAAATCAAACAGGTGGTAACAGCACATACTCAAGTCCAGGAAGCAATGGGACTTCAGGAGATACCACATTAGGTAAGATGAGTAGCTCCCAGGAATGATCATGAACCATCCTTCTTGTCCTGTATCCTAGAGCCTTGCCCATTCAAGTTGCCTGCTGGAAAGAGATTGATTTTCATTAACTGTGGAAGACGAGAAAAGATTCTGTATCGTTTCAAGCCCAGGAGTTCAGGTGACAGGATCACTCAGTATTAAGGTCCTGTGTGTTTTGGGATATTTTAGCTACTTCCAAGTGTTTGGTTTAAAATTGTTTTCATTATTATTGATTAATACTTACTTTTCTGCTAGGACTTGGGAACGGAGACCTGTTAGAAATGTGTCTTGGGCTTCCCTGGTGGCGCAGTGGTTAAGAATCTGCCTGCGAAGGCAGGGGACACGGGTTTGAGCCCTGGTCTGGGAAGGTCCCACATGCCGCGGAGCAACTAAGCCCGTGTGCCACAACTGCTGAGCCTGCACTCTAGAGCCCGCACGCCACAACTACTGAAGCTCGCACACCGCAACGAAGAGTAGCCCCCGCTTGCCGCAAGTAGAAAGCCTGCGCGCAGCAACGAAGACCCAACGCAGCCATTAATTAATTAATTGAAAAAAGAAAAAGAAATGTGTCTTGATGGTGTTGGTAATTACTAGGCTTCTTTTAATCTCCCCAGGGAAGTTGATGCTATATTTATATTCCTGGGAGCTTCTGTTGGGCATGAAAGTTTGATATACTTTATAGAGGAGTATGTGCTTCAAATGAAATAAGAGTCCAGTGACTCTTATTAAGCTTAGATTTTTCTTTAGTTTAGATGTCAGTACCCTGAGCCACCTGTTACAGCTGCAAATTTAGCTTTTTTTTTTTAACCTGAAAAGAACCAAAAATATAAAAAACAGATGAGACGCTCTTTTTAAGCTGAGAAGAATACACAATTTAAAAAAGAGGTCCTGTGTTGGTTTTCTGATCATACCCTGTGTCGGGTGTGCTCTCATTGGCTGGTGAAGGCTGTGGAAAGCTGACCTCCTGAGCCCATGGTGTGAAGTGACCGCCTGGCACAGCACCTTCTGCACATGGAGCAGGCCAATGCTAAACCAGTGGTTTTCAGCATTTTTTTTTTTTAAGCCTGGAAACTATTTCCTTAAATAAAATCTTGCCCAGATGCCCAGTAAGTAAAAAGAACTGGAGAGAGAGGAGCTACAGGGATGCAGTGTCACAGGTACCTTCAGAAACCTTCTGGAGGTGCTCAGCATAGTTTTAGAGAAAACAGAAACCCACAGTAAAGATTTGCTGTATTGTGAGACAGAGAGAAAAAAAAAGGAGCGGGCAGAGAGGAGTTAGAAGAGAATTAAGGAGGAAGAAGAAGGCAGAATTTAGAAATGCTGATGGGACAACGTGATACAGAATTGGTGACTATAGGAAAGGGGAGGTGGACAGGTGGCCAGAAGCCTGCAGCCCAGGAACCAAGGATCCTCACTCCACCTTAAAGCCCCCAAGGTCAAGGCTGTGTTTATCAGCTACTGTTTACTGAGCACATACCATGTGCTTAGCTGTCCTTAATACATCAGGGTGTCCTCACAGTAACCCTGAGGGCTACAGTGGAAGAAATGGTAATGCCGAGAAGTTAAGTTTCTTCTGAGCTCCCAGAGTTATTGAGCCATCATGTAGTGGGAACCCAGCAGCCTGATTCCAGAGCACTGTGGTACAGTGGTGTTCATAACAGTTACCCAGATCATTGAGCTGGCTGCTTTATTCGTGTTGCACGTCTTTTTTTTTTTTTTTGCGGTACGCGGGCCTCTCACTGTTGTGGCCTCTCCTGTTGTGGAGCACAGGCTCCGGACGCGCAGGCCCAGCGGCCATGGCTCACGGGCCCAGCCTGTCTGTGGCATGTGGGATCTTCCTGGACCGGGGCACGAACCCGTATCCCCTGCATCGGCAGGCGGACTCTCAACCACTGCACCACCAGGGAAACCCCTGCATGTGTCTTTTTAAAAGAAATGTGTGACCCGATGTAGAAATCTTTGCATCAGAAACATTTGATGTGAAGAACAGAATTGCAGAATGGATCAGCTCGCCTCAGAGCTGGATGGTGCCTTGCAGTCGTCCAGGCCAGTGTCTTTGAGTTCAGCCACCTCAAGCAGGGTTGTGGATCTGTCTGCAGTGCTACCTGTGCTTGTATCAATATATGCTTAAAGCTGGAGCCCTGGGCTCTACTTTCCCTGATGCTACAAGTAGTGTGCATTCTTAAGCAAGTCACCCTGCTGTTCTGAATCTCCATGTTCTTATCTCAAGATTGAAGGGAGTGGATGTCATCTTGGCCAAAATGGTTTGGTTTATGTCACAACCAGTCAAATAAAGTGATAGAAAGAACGGAGTGGGGATAGTATAGACTGGAAATCTTCTGAAAATTTCCCTTGGGGTTGGAATACAGGGAAGAGGGTCTTCGTTGAAATGTCTTGATACTGTGAAATATTATTTGTATTATCTGGAATTGAGACCTTTAGATGTAGCAAATGATTGCTTTTTTTTGATGCTTATTCCTGATATCTAAAACAAATATTAAATGCTGCTGTTTAAAAGGGCAATTTAGAAGAGTATCAGATCACTGTTGGAATTAACTGTCATGGAGAACAGTTCAGATCCTAAAAGATTATGGCCTTCAGGTTTATTCTTTTCTCCTTTTTTTCTGCATAATGATGTTTTTTCCCTGCTGTGAAATGATGGAACTGCACTGGACTCTGATATAATGGAAGTATTTTTAGTGGGTCACGTTGAAACATCAATGTCCCCAGTCATTCTTAATGAAAGGTGACTACAGGTATCTTATTCCATCAGTGCCCACTGTGTGTTTTTAAAATAGAGCCTCATCCAGTTTCTGGTCTTCGTGTTGTCTTTGTGGGTGTGACGCACGTTACTCTTACCTGGAAGAATGATAACAGCACTGGCACCTGCCGGATGTTCCTTGAAGGAAGCCAGGAGTCGACTCAAAACTTAGCAGTCAATATTTCAGACCTGAAGCCAGGGATTCAAAACAAGGTCACCCTGTATCTTTCAAATAAGTCACAGAGTGACCCTCTGGTTACAGAAAATAGCTTAGGTGAGTTACAAAAGCGGGCTTCTGATCTGCCTTGCTGGTTTTGACTTTCAGTAACTTAGAGTTAAGAAAAATTGTTCTTATAATTTATATGGAGTTTAGAATTTATAGAGGTCTTCTCCACATTTTAGTTTGACCTCCACGAGTGTGTGAGGAAGGAGGGGAAAATGTTCTTATTTTACAGGTCAGCACAGTGGGTGTTGAAACTTTTTGGAGTCTGGCATCCAGGAAAGTAGCTGGGCCCTTTAGCTTAAACTTTCGGTTGGGGGGCTTCCCTGGTGGCGCAGTGGCTGAGAGTCCGCCTGCCGATGCAGGGGACACGGGTTCGTGCCCCGGTCTGGGAAGATCCCACATGCCACGGAGCGGCTGGGCCCGTGAGCCATGGCCGCTGAGCCTGCACCGTCTGGAGCCTGTGCTCCGCAACGGGAGAGGCCACAACAGTGAGAGGCCCGCGTACCGCAAAACAAACGAACAAAAAACAAAAAACTTTCAGTTGGATAGATAACAGATGTGTTAACCCAAGTAGGCCCACTGGAGGAACTTAACCGCATCCACTGAGAAAAGGGCTGCTTATCATGCAAATCTAGCAGGTGTCTTCTGCATTGACAGCGGAGTAGTCATTTGCAGACTTCATAGAATTTTCAGGGGTAACCCTGTGAATTGAGAACAAGTACTCAATCCCCATTTTACACATAAGGAAACAGATGTACAAAGTAGGTGTCAGGATCCTTGATGGCAGGTGACAGAATCAGACTTCAAATAGCTTAGACTAAAAGAGCAACTGCTTGGCTCGTGTATATTTCCCCACCAGGGGCAGCAAGGCCTTGAAGGAGGAGATGAGGTGACTCTTGTCTCTCTTTCCTGCTTCTTTCTTTTTACCAACTTTCCCCTGGTTCAGCGGTTCTGCTTGTTTCACCCTCTCTCAGCAGGGGACTGGTCCAGGGAAAGAATTCCTTGAGTGGGCTCTGCTTAGCCAAGTGTGAATCATGAGGTTGTCCTGGAAATCCATGTTTGGAGTTGGGTGGGAGAAGATGGGTTCTCGAAGGAAGCTGGGGAGAGATGCAGATCGCTGAGTTGGAGAGATAAGCACAAATATCTGCGGTGCTACCTGGGCTAAAAGTGCAAAGTGAAATACCTGCCCCAAGTCAGGACCCTTTCACAGAGCACGAACGTGCGGACACGGTAGAGGGGAAGAGGGGGTGGGATGAATTGGGAGATTGGGATTGACATATATACACTACCATGTGTAAAACAGATAGCTAGTTGGAACCTGCTGTATAGCGCAGAGGACTCAGCTCCGTGCTCTGTGGTGACATAGATGGGTGGGATGAGGGGGTGTGGGAGGGAAGTCCAAGAGGGAGGGGATACATGTATACATACAGCTGTTTCACTTTGTAGTACAGCAGAAACTAACACAACACTGTAAAACAACTATACCCCAATTAAAAAAAAGAAAAGGCAAAAAAACTCACCAAACCCTAAAATCAGGGCCCTTTCAGGAACATGTGTATCTCTGGGGGAGGAAGGGAACGGGTGTTTGTGGAGTCCCAGCTGTGGGTACTGTCTGATGTGTCGTCTTACGGTGGGGAGGGCACCGGCGCTGACAGAAGTCAGGGATGCACTTCTGTCGCAGATAATGTCTTTGCCTTTGTGTTTGAAACAGATGCCAGCACCACAGACCGCTTTTTGCAGCCACCTAGGAGCCCCACTGCCCCCGGGTACAAATACGGACTTGAACCTGCAGCCCCGTCCTCTGAGCCTTCTCTGCCCCAAGACACCACGGAAGTCCTGCTTTTTGGGTTAAAGTCTGACACACAGTACAAGGCCACTGTTTATCCTCGAGCAGCAAATGGTGCCGAAGGACAGCCCCGTGCCACAGAGTTTAAAACAAGTATGTTGAATTTTGTAAAGTGGCTTCAGCCAGACTTTCTAGCACAAAGTTTGTCTTCTGTGATTCTGGTTCTGAGTTATCTCTTGCTTCATAAGTAGTTTTGTTGTGGGAGAGAGTTTTCTGGAAGAGGTTTTGGACAGAGCAGATCCAGTGAGTTTCTTCTTAACTCTGTGGCCAAGACCCTGCTTTCCTTGAGCTCATTACAACGTAGCTGCTCATTTCCTTGAACAGCTACCATGTGCAGATGCTAGGGGCTACCTCATTCTTTCTTTCATAGCTCTGCATACTGGCCAATGAGACAAACTGGCATAATGTTTTTCTCTTGTAACTTGATATTCATTTTGTCCATGTTGGTTAAGTATTTTCCCCTTGAGAGAAGAAAATGAGTTTCCTTTTTTGGCCTGAACTTGGAAGGCATATACTGACCTTCCTATGTTACTTGCTGGCATGCACATTGCTGCTTTCTACCTATAATTTGTCAGCACTCCCACTCTGTAAATTGAACAGTTTTAGAGACTTTTTGGATTGGTGCTGATGAGGGGGTAAAGAATGGTTCCTACCCTCAGGGAATTGCAGTATAGATGGGGAATCAAGGCAAACATACATGGGAAAGCACAGGGTCAGGCTCTGTGGGTTCAGGAACAAATGCTGTAGCCTTGCGGCTACAAGCCCCTTGGGGGCTTGCTTGCAGGCAACACAGACTGACTCGGGTTATCTTATCCAACAATATCTCTATTCTATATATGACAGTCTCTTTGCTGTACGGCAGAAACTAACACCATCATCATATTTGTAAGTCAAATATACTCCAATAAAAATTAAAACAAGTAAACAAACCCCCCAAATTTATCTGTTCTGAAAGGCTGTCATAGATCCATAGAATGGAGGGAGTAAAGATGGAGGCTGGAGGACCAAGGACAGAAAACAGTCTAGCATCCAGGAAACTCTGGAGGGCTGGTCCATGCTGGAGCTGGTGACACTCCCTCAGGATTCTAGGGTGGAGAGGGTGTCCTGTTGCTTTCTAGATGGCTGTGCTGGGGAAGGGAGCCGCTGTCCCTCCAGCTTCCACATGGGTGACAGGCACTTCCTCCCTACAAGGGGGATTGGGATGCCTTTTGGAAGAGGGACTTGGATGCTGTATAGGCAGCCCATGGTCGCTGTGCACTATAGTTGCCCACTAAGTGCTGTGGACATGGGAGGGCTGGAGCCTGATTTTAATATTAAATCCCAAAGGAAGGCCTCTTCTACAGGGAGGATCTGAACTTTCTTTGAAGGGAGGATAGGATTTGGATAAATGGAGAGGAAGCGGAGGATGTGTCAGTTGAGGAAACGTCATGAGTGAAAGTGCAGATGATGGACGCTGAGGTACAAAAGTGGAGAGGCACCGGGACTAGGTAACATCTCAAGGACTCTGATGATTCTGGAGGGGTTGATTCATTTCCTAGAGAGATGGTATATGTGTGTTTTGAGAGCTGCTCTCTCTTTTGGAGGGGCTGGGAGGATGTGCTATAGGACACCTGGGGGCAGCTTTTGGCTGGGGGAGGAGGGAGGGGGGGAAGGGACTCCTCCAGGGGTGCCATTGACAGTGGTGGGGCTGTCCTACATACAAGATGCTTGTGCAGGGAGGTGAGTGGGGCTGAAATCTAGTCTCTGGGTCTTTCACCAAGCCACACACCCTGGGGCAGAGCCATCCAGAGGAGGGCCTTTTTGCCTGATCCTGCTAAAGCAGTCTGTGGATTAGTGTGGACCTGGAGTTCCCTGCTTTTTAAAGTGATTTGAGTGGAATTAAAGTAATAGTGATTGCATTTTTGGCTTTTGGTCGTGTGGATATACACAAAGCCTGATTTGTGTTGACTGTCCCAGTGCTTAATAAATAATAATAATATTATATAATATATACTATTATAATAATTATAGCCTTAACCCTCTCTATGTTGTGTGTATATGTATATGTGTGTGTATATTCATGTGTACACACACACACACACACGCACATACGCACAGATACACATACATGTATGGTACCAGGCACTTTTCAAGAGACTGATTAGGTGGGATGGAGTTAAGGACACCATCAGAGGATGTTGAGACGCCTGAGACTAGTCATGATAGGAAATCACGTCCAAGGCTGAAGAGTAAGGGGGAGGAGATGGTGTTTCTGGAGCCGAGCGAGGGCTGGGGCAGTGGAGGACACAGCTGTGTCAGAACAGGTGGCCCAGAGAAGGAGGCAGTGAGGAGAAAGACTCCAACTGCTTTCTCCTCCAGCCCCCCAGTAGCCTGCCCCTATCGCTCACTGGTGGAACCTGGTCCCAGGCCACCTGGCAGAGTCTCTACCCCCAACCCGTGCCCCAGTGATGCAAGGTACAGGGCTCAGCCTCCCCGGGGCACAGAGCAGGCAGGAGAGGGACAGAGGGTGGGGTGGGCAGGTGGTGAATAACTAGCACCCCTGTGTTATCTTTTCTTGAGTTAGGATTATTATCCGGACTTATAGATGAAGAAACTGAGCTCGGTGATTTTCCTAAGATCCACCTGCCTATTCAAGTAGAGCTGACCTTGGAACCCAGACCTGCCTCATGTGAAAGTCTGTGATCTTTACTTGATCATGTGGAGTATAGTGTTCATTCTTGGATGGATGTATGCTTGAGACCTTTTGAGGTCACCCAGCACCTAGGGGGGCGTGCGTAGAGTCCATGTTGTTGTTTGAGGAGTCTGTCGCATCTCTCAGCGTCAGCTCACAAGAAGAGCGTAGAGTAACTGTGAAGTTGCAATTGGCCAGGTTGTTTTCTTCACTGAAGATGCTGCCTGACTTTTGCTGGGACCGCCCTACACTCAGGTTTGTTGCGTTAAATGGTGTAGAGTAGGAAGGAAGAATCGCTAAGAGTGTTTCTTAGATTAGATGGCGTTCCTTGATGACAGCATCTCTCCCTCTCTCTGTCTCTTTCTGTCTGGCTTGGCCGTTCTGGTGGTTGTTAACTCCTCTTGTGTCTTTGCAGATTCCAGTCAGGTGTTTGACATCGAAGTTGTGAACATCAGTGCCACAGGCTTGACCCTGACCTGGAAAATCAATGAGAATGAGTCATCTTCTGTCTATACCTACAACATACAAGTTGCTGGCGAGACAGATTCCTTCAATCTCACGGTCCATGAGACTCGTGCCATCATCACCCCACTCATCTCGAGCACGTTATACAACATCACAGTGTGGCCTTTCCTTGACAACGGTTCTGAGGGCATACCGGGCTTTCTCCAGGTGTACACCCGTGAGTCCACTCATTGCTTTGCTAACCTTTCTTGCCTGCCTGCTATGCGCCAGACGCAGATACAAGACAAATTCTGTTCCTGCCCTTGAGGAAAGCACAGCTCACCTTGTGGGTCCACAGGGACTCACCACCTTCAGGATGTGTGATCTTATGACGGTGACCATTGATTGACCCTGCCCACACGCCCAGCATCGCGTGACGGGCTTTCCTTGCACGGTCTCATTTAATGTTCACAAATCTGTGACATGGCACTGGCCTCATTTTATGGATGAGGAAGCCAAGGCCGAGAGAGATGCTATGGACAGGTGTCAAACCTTGTGAATGTCAGAGGTGGGATCAGACAGCTGGGCTCTCTCAGCTCCAGCATTGGAAGTGCTGGTGTGTTAGTTTGCCAGGACTGCCATAATAAATACGACAGATTGGGAGGCTTAAACAATAGAAATCGACTCCCTCACAGTTCTGGAGGCAAGCAGTCTGAGATCAGGTGATTCAGGCTTGGTTTCTTCTGAGACCTCCCTTCCTGGCTTTGTAATGGCCGGCTTCTCCCTGTGTCTTCACGTGATTCTCCTTTGATCTGTGCATGTCTGTGTCCTAATCTCTCTCTTTTTTTAAATTTTATTGAAGTATAGTTGATTTACAATGTTGTGTTTAATTTCTGCTGTACAGCAAAGTGATTTAGTTATACATAAATATATTCTTTTTCATATTCTTTTCCATTACGGTTTATCACAGGATATTGAATATAGTTCCCTCTAATCTAATAAGGATACTAGTCATAATGGATTGGATTAGGGCCCACCTTAATGGACTAATTTTACCTTAATCACCTCTTTAAAAATCCTACCTCCAAATATAGTCAGATTCTGAGGTACTGATGGTTAGGACTTCAACATATGAATTTTGAGGGGACACAATTCAACTCATAACATGTGGGGTGCAGCTCTAGGCTGGCATCCAGAAATGACTCCCAGCCTAAGGGTGCAGAACTCCCCATCCAGGGAGTCCCCAACTGTGTCACTGTCAGCAGCCCTGGCTGTAGTTGTTGGCTCCAGGAATGTACTGAGCTGCCGTCCTGGCATCAGGAAGCTGCAGCCACTGCCACATTGTTGGTTCTATAGCCAGGCAGCCTGAGCTGCAGGCATCACACCCACATTCCAGTTACAAGAAGGAGGAAGGATAAAAGGTAACGCTCCATCCTTTAAGGATGCTTCTTAGGAGCCATATGGTGCTTATACTCACATCCCATTGGCCAGAACTTAGCCTAGTAGCAAGGGAGGCTGGGAAATGTAGTTTTTCTTTCCAATAGCCATGTACACTGCTAAGAATCTGGGGGTGTATGATTAAGGAAAACGGAGTGGGGAATGGATTTTGGGGGTCAACAGCAGCCTCTGCTGCACTTCCTTAAACAGACTCTGGAAGGCTAAGTAATGTATACAACATAGGTAGCCAGCAGTGGCCAAGGTCCTCCAGTGCCTGAGCCCATGACCCATGAGAATTTACGCCTCTTCTCATTTCCTTTGAATGACTTTGTACAACGTAAACACCAGTTTCTGCTCTCCTGTGGCCAAGTGTTCTCTTGTTGGTTAGAAACATGAGTTTCTGAGGGGCTTGTGTTGTAGGTGATAATACAAAAAAGAGAAAAAGAGAGGTTGGGTGTCCCAAGTGTACGTTTAATCTCATTGTAAATATTTTGTGAGGTTCAGTCACCCTTGTCTTCTGGAGAAATAGATTCTTAATCTAGTCATTTACTTTCTACCCACAGCCCCCAGTCCAGTTTCTGACTTTCAAGTGACAAGTGTCAGCACAAGGGAAATTGGCTTAGCATGGAATAGCAATGACTCTAATTCCTTTGAGATACATATCACACCGGATGAAGTTGGAGTACATCAAACAACCACCGAACAAAGTATTGTCATTGGTGGCTTATCCCCTGGAACCAAGTATCGTTTTGACATATTTCCACAAGGACCAGATGGGACTAAAGGGGATTCCCAAACAGTTTACAATACAACTGGTAAGCAAATAGGTTGTATTTTCTGAGAAACAGTCATGTTTCTTAAGGGAAATCAGTATAATTTATAAATGTCAATTTTTCCAAATATTGCTTTTCTTTTAATTATCTAAGAAAAACTTTTTAACAAGTTTATAATGACAGCAATGCATATTCATTATATAAAATACAGACAAGCAAAAAGAAAAATCACATGTAAACCAACAACCAGAGATAATAACTAATAGCTTTTGATGCGTGATGTTTTAGAATTTTAAGGTATAGAAAGGTGTGTAGGTGTATATATATTTTAACAAATATTAAAATCCTGTACATGTGTTACCTGCTGTTTTTCATTTCAAGTTTATTATGACTATTCTTCCCTATTAGCATAAATATTTATGCAGGATAATTTTTTTTCTTTATTAAACATCTTCATTGGAGTATAATTGCTTTACAATGGTGTGTTAATTTCTGCTATATAACAAAGTGAATCAGTTATACATATACATATGTCCCCATATCTCTTCCCTCTTGTGTCTCCCTCCCTCCCACCCTCCCTATCCCACCCCTCTAGATGGTCACAAAGCACCGAGCTGATCTCCCCGTGCTTTGTGGCTGTTTCCCACTAGCTCTCTGTTTTACGTTTGGTAGGGTATATATGTCCATGCCACTCTCTCACTTTGTCCCAGGTTACCCGCCCCCTTCCCCATATCCTCAAGTCCATTCTCTAGTAAGTCTGTGTCGTTGTTCCCATCTTGCCCCAAGGTTCTTCATGACAATTTTTTTTTTTTTTTTTAGGTTTCATATATATGTGTTAGCATACGGTATTTGTTTTTCTCTTTCTGACTTACTTCACTGTGTATGGCAGACACTAGGTCTATCCACCTCACTACAAATAACTCAGTTTTGTTTCTTTTTATGGCTGAGTAATATTCCATTGTATATATGTGCCACATCTGCTTTATCCATTCATCTGTTGATGGACACTTAGGTTGCTTCCATGTCCTGGCTACTGTACATAGAGCTGCAATGAACATTTTGGTACCTGACTCTTTTTGAATTATGGTTTTCTCAGGGTACATGCCCAGTAGTGGGATTGCTGGATCGTATGGTAGTTCCATTTTTAGTTTTTTAAGGAACCTCCATACTGTTCTCCATAGTGGCTGTATCAATTTGCATTCCCAGCAACAGTGCAAGAGGGTTCCCTTTTCTCCACACCCTCTCCAGCAATTATTGTCTGTAGATTTTTTGATGATGGCCATTCTGACTGGTGTGAGGTGATATCTCATTGTAGTTTTGATTGGCATTTCTCTAAAGATTAATGATGTTGAGCATTCTTTCATATGTTTGTTGGCAATCTGTATATCTTCTTTGGAGAAATGTCTATTTAGGTCTTCTGCCCATTTTTGGATTGGGTTGTTTGTTTTTTTGATACTGAGCTGCATGAGCTGCTTGTAACCTTTGGAGATGAATCCTTTGTCAGTTGCTTCATTTGCAAATATTTTCTTCCATTCTGAGGGTTGTCTTCTCGCCTTGTTTATGGTTTCCTTGTCTGTGTAAAACCTTTTAAGTTTCAGTAGGTCCCATTTATTTATTTTTGTTTTTACTTCCATTTCTCTAAGAGGTGGGTCAAAAAGGATCTTGCTGTGATTTATGTCATAGAGTGTTCTGCCTATGTTTTCCTCTAAGAGTTGGATAGTGTCTGGCCTTATGTTTAGGTCTTTAATCCATTTTGAGTTTATTTTTGTGTATGGTGTTAGGGAGTGTTCTAATTTCATTCTTTTACATGCAGCTGTCCAGTTTACACAGTACCACTTATTGAAGAGGCTGTCTTTTCTCCACTGTATATTCTTGCCTCCTTTATCAAAGATAAGGCGACCATATGTGCATGGGTTTATCTCTGGGCTTTCTATCCTTTTCCATTGCTCTATATTTCTGTTTTTGTGCCAGTACCATACTGTCTTGATTACTGTTGCTTTGTCTGAAGTCAGGGAGCCTGATTCCTCCAGCTCTGTTTTTCTTTCTCAAGATTGCTTTGGCTATTTGGGGTCTTTTGTGTTTCCATACAAATTGTGAAATTTTTTGTTCTAGTTCTGTGAAAAATGCCACTGGTAGTTTGATAGGGATTGCATTGAATCTGTAGATTGCTTTGGGGAGTAGAGTCATTTTCACAATGTTGATTCTTCCAATCCAAGAACATGGTATATCTCTCCATCTATTTGTAATTTCACTTTCAGATTTTTCATCATTAGTGTATAGGAATGCCAGAGATTTCTGTGCATTAATTTTGTATCCTGCTACTTTACCAATTCATTGATTAGCTCTAGTAGTTTTCTGGTAGCATCTTTAGGATTCTCTATGTATAGTATCATGTCATCTGCAAACAGTGGCAGCTTTACTTCTTTTCTGATTTGGATTCCTTTTATTTCTTTTACTTCTCTGATTGCTGTGGCTAAAAATTCCAAAACTATGTTGAGTAATAGTGGTGAGAGTGGACACCCTTGTCTTGTTCCTGATCTTAGTGGAAACGGTTTCCGTTTTTCACCATTGAGGATGATATTGGCTGTGGGGTTGTCATATATGGCCTCTATTATGATGAGGAAAGTTCCCTCTATGCCTCCTTTCTGGAGGGTTTTTATCATAAATGGGTGTTGAATTTTGTCAAAAGCTTTCTCTGCATCTATTGAGATGATCATATGGTTTTTCTCTTTCTGTTTGTTAATATGGTTTATCACACTGATTGATTTGCATATATTGAAGAATCCTTGCATCCCTGGGATAAACCCCACTTGATCATGGTGTATGATCCTTTTAATGTGCTGTTGGATTCTGTTTGCTGGTATTTTGTTGAGGATTTTTGCATCTATGTTCATCAGTGATATTGGCCTGTAGTTTTCTTTCTTTGTGACATCCTTGTCTGGTTTTGGTATCAGGGTGATGGTGGCCTCATAGAATGAGTTTGGGAGTGTTCCTCCCTCTGCTATATTTTGCAAGAGTTTGCGAAGGATAGGTGTTAGCTCTTCTCTAAATGTTTGATAGAATTCGCCTGTGAAGCCATCTGGTCCTGGGCTTTTGTTTGTTGGAAGATTTTTAATCACAGTTTGAATTTCAGTGCTTGTGATTGGTCTGTTCATATTTTCTATTTCTTCCTGATTCAGTCTTGGCAGGTTGTGCATTTCTAAGAATTTGTCCATTTCTTCCAGGTTGTCCATTTTATTGGCATAGAGTTGCTTGTAGTGAATCTCATGATCCTTTGCATTTCTGCAGTGTCAGTTGTTACTTCTCCTTTTTCATTTCTAATTCTACTGATCTGCGTCTTCTCCCTTTTTTTCTTGATGAGTCTGGCTAATGGTTTATCAATTTTGTTTATTTTCTCAAAGAACCAGCTTTTAGTTTTATTGATCTTTGCCATCGTTTCCTTAATTTCTTTTTCATTTATTTCTGATCTGATCTTTATGATTTCTTTCCTTCTCTGCAGAATAATTTTAATACCTGCCTGACATTCCATTGTCTAAATCAGGAGTCAGCAGGTAAAAATGGCCCATGGGCCAAATCTGGTCCACTGCCTGTTTTTTTACAGAGAGTAAAGTTTTATTGGAACACAGCCATGCTCATTTCTTTATATAAAGTCTATGGCTTCTTTTGTGCTACAAATGAGTAGTTGCCACAGAGAATAAATGGCCTGCAAAACCTAAAATATTTATTCTGTGGTCCATATGGAAAAAGTTCGCTGACCCCTTGGTTAGATCATTGGTTCTCAAAGTGTGGTCCAGGGATCTCTGGGAGTCCCCTAGATTCTTTCAAGGGGCTCTGTAAGGTATTATTATTTTTTTTTTAAGAATTTATTTATTTTATTTATTTATTTTTGGCTGCGTGGGGTCTCTGTTGCTGCTTGCGGGCTTTCTCTAGTTGTGGTGAGCAGAGGCTACTCTTTGTTGCGGTGTGCGGGCTTTTCATTGCGGTGGCTTCTCTTGTTGCGGAGCACGGACTCTAGGCACATGGGCTTCAGTAGTTGTGGCTCTCGGGCTCTAGAGCGCAGGCTCAGTAGTTGTGGCGCACGGGCTTAGTTGCTCCGTGGCATGTGGGATCTTCCCGGACCAGGGCTCGAACCTGTGTCTCCTGCACTGGGAGGCAGATTCTTAACCACTGAACCACCAGGGAAGCCCTGTGAGGTATTATTACCATAACGATATTGGAATGCTATTTGGCTTCTTCACTCTCATTCTCTCATGATGAGTGTACAGTGGAGTTTTCTAGATGCTCTATGAAATGGGATGAGATCATTTTTCTGTTGGCTAATGGAATGCATGCTTGTGTATTCTTATGTTTTAAATATTTTCCCCATTGAAAATTTTCTATTACAGCATACATAAATATAACCTAAATAAATAAAAATTCTCTGAGAGCCTTACTAAGTTTTAAGAAGATGAAGGGGTCCTGAAACCCTAAAGTTTATAAATATTTAACTACTCCCCTATTGTTGGACAGGTAGATTATTTATAGTCTTTCATAAACAACATTGTGATACAGTAGTTTCGTTAGTTCTATGAGGCCTATTGATATTGATAAAAATATTTCATGAAAACTATTTCTCATTATTGTTTTTAAAATTTGAAATGAAATTTTTGGAAAAGCTTGGAAAACATACAGTATTCCCTGATCTTTGATTGCAAGGGAATTGAAATCTTTTCCACAGAAGGGAGGAATAAAGAAATGAGACTGATGCCTTGAGCCACGTGTGAAGTCATTTGGACTCTTGGGATTCTCCTTGTGTAGGTTTCTTCAACTCTGTTGGCTGGGTTAAGCACTGATAGCTACTAGGAAGATCTGCTTCCAAAATATGGGAACTGCTAAAATGCATCCCTCAGATGAAGTGTGGTAATTCCTTTTCAAGTCTGGATTTCAGATTAGACTTTTGAGGTAGGGTCGTAGTATCAACATATATTTTTTTCTTTCTTTTTGAGAATGTTGCTAATGGTAAAGGCATCACCATTGTGGGGTCCCTTTGATATTGTATGACTTACCAACGACCAGAATTTAATGTAATAATAACATAATGTACTAGGGGTCTACAAATGGCTGGGCTGTCATACTGTATTTAAACATTTTGGACACAACTCCATGAGGTAGGGACTATTATCATCTCTATTTTACAGAGTAAGAAATGGGGACTCTGTGAACTTAAGTAACTGGCCCAGGGTGACAAGGTAGTGAACTGGCCTCTGTCTGACTTTGAAGACTGAGGTCTTAACCAGAGTGTGGACTGTACTTTGTTTTGTTTTTGTTTTTGTTTTGCGGTACGCGGGCCTCTCACAGCTGTGGCCTCTCCCGTTGCGGAGCACAGCGTCCGGACACACAGGCCCAGCGGCCATGGCTCGCGGGCCCAGCCTCTCCATGGCATGTGGGATCTTCCCAGACCGGGGCATGAACCCGCGTCCCCTGCATTGGCAGGCGGACTCTCAACCACTGCGCCACCAGGGAAGCCCTGGACTGTACTTTGATATGGTGCAGCTGCAAAAGTAATTTAAGCCTGTTCATAAGGAGAAGGCACCTCTTGTACTATTGCCTGTAATTGTCCGGTTGAATGGAAATCAAGAAGAGTTGTAATAAGGCACTAGACTCTTAGGGTATTACCATTCTATTATTGACCAATGTTCATTATTATTGGGGAGAATAAATGTAACAGCATTAAAGGCAATTTTGAAAAAGGGAAACAAATACCGTATGACCCAACAATTCCACTCCTACATGTATATATATTTCCAAAAGAATTGAAAGCAGGGCCTTGAACAGTTATTTCTACACCAGTGTTCATAGGAGCATGATTCACAATAGCTAAAAGGTGGAGGCAACCAAGTGTCCATCAACAGAGGACTGGATAGACAAAATGTGGTATATCCATATGACAGAATATTATTTAGCCATAAAAAGGAATGAAAGTACTGAGACATGCTATAGTGTGGATAAATCTTGAAAACATTATGCTAAGTGAAAAAAGCTGGACATAGAAGGACAACTACCGTATGAATCCACTTATATGAGATGCCTAGAATAGGCATGTTTACAGAGACAGATGGTAGAAGAGAGGGGCTGGGAGGAGGGAAGAATGAGGGTTGTTGTTTCATGGGAACAGAGTTCGTGTTGGGGATGATGAAATGTTTTGGGTACACATGATGGTGATGGTGACACAACATTGTGAATGTATTTAATGCTACTGAGTTGTACACTTACAAATGGTTAAAATGATAAATATTATGTTGTGTATATTTTACTACCACAAAAAGGCAGGGAAACAAAAATAACTCCACTCTTCTAACCCAACTGAATTCCTTTTCTATCTGTGTCCATGGTCATATATTTATAGTTTATATCACTGTAATTATTATATGAATTATTTTATTTTGTATTTGAACTTTTTCTTTTAACTCCATATATATCATAACTTCCCTCCTGTAGTGGTTATGGTTTTCATGTTTTTAGTGGCTGCAGACTATTTCATCTTGTAGCCAGATCACAATGTATATATAGCCCTTCCCTTTTTATGGGATATTTAGGTTATTTCTACTATTTTTATATTTATAGAAAACTGGTGGAATCCTTTTAACATCAGTTAGCCAGTGGGAGGGAAAGAAGATTCTCAGTTACCTTCCTTTAAGAGAACCTACTTAAAAATTAATTTTTGAGGGCTTCCCTGGTGGCTCAGTGGTTGAGAGTCCGCCTGCCGATGCAGGGGATACGGGTTCGTGCCCCGGTCTGGGAGGATCCCACGTGCTGTGGAGCGGCTGGGCCCGTGAGCCATGGCCGTTGAGCCTGCGTGTCCGGAGCCTGTGCTCCACAATGGGAGAGGCCACAACAGTGAGAGGCCCACATACGGCAAAAAAAAAAAAAAAAAAAAATTAATTTTTGAGCAGATAGTACATGCATGTGGTACAAAATTTTTAAAAGTACAAAGGGTTTTACAGTGAAAATGTTCCCCTCTTTTGTCCCCTATCTACTCAACTGGCCTCTTCAGAGGTGACCTTGGTTACTGGGTAAAGAGAGAAAAGTTTTGTAAGTAAGGGCAGAAAAGAGGTCCTGTTATCTAGTTGTTTCTGGGATCTGTGCATTCATATTGCAGCTGGTTCAGTGTGTAGAGGTGAGATGATCCGAGTACAGAACCCAGAGGACTCATTGGGTGATATCACTTCTGACTCCCAGCTCTGAGCGTGGAGGGCATGTGTGCTTTTTCCCTTCATCACTCCAGCCTCAAATGCTCCCACTTAGCGTCAACTGTATTTCAGTTTTTCTCTTCAGTATGCCTGTCTATGTTATAGAAAGATGTTTTCTTTTGAGGGAGTGATTAAAAAAAACTACTTATTGAGATATAGTACACATACTGAAAAGCACACACATCCTGAGTGCATAGTGTGATGAATCTTCACAAACAGCACCCATCTGGTCACTAGCACTCAGGTCAAGAAACTGGCCATGATTGTCACTCCAGAAGACCCCCGAAGGGGGCATCTCTGTGACAAAAGCAAAAGACCAGAAAACTGATAGGATAAGCTGGTAAGTTCATCTGTGTTACAGAAGAGCCAAAATTCTTGAAAGAACTGAGTGTGTGTGTTTCTCACCTAAGTTTTAGAGTTTGCCCTACGTGAACTCATTTGAGGGTTTGATGGCAAAAGAGCAAGTTCTCTTGTCAGACTCCTTGGAATAAAGCTGGACGTTATGATGGTCATTAATAGACTTCCTTTTTTCTTCCTTTCCTCTGACCAGACCTCAGTGCAGTGTTTGATATCCGTGTGGTTAACGTCACCACAACCGACATGCAGTTGGTGTGGCGGAATACAGACAATGGTACTGGGTACATCTACTGTGTAGTGATACAGTCTGAGCACAGCTCTAACCAGACAAATAGTTCTCATGAAGCAATCACTCTCGGGGGCCTGATCCCGGGCACCTTATATAACATCACAATCTTCCCAGAAATGGACAATTTCCGGGGAATATCCAACTCCACTGCACAGTACACACGTAAGTGTCTTAGAACACCCTCCTAAGGGAGTATTCTCCTTTTCACTTGGAGGATGGGAAGTAAGCATTGGTTAAATGATGGAATAAGAGGCTCTTGTGTTTCTGGGCTCCAGGTAGAATGTGAAACTGTGTAAGCTGAAAACATCGGCCTCAGCAAATGTTCTTCTGTGCTCTTGGGGCACTTGGTGCTGAGCCATATGAACTTGGAATTGTCTTCTGAAGCAGAAAGGGATCCCATAAGCATGGGAAACATGACTATTCATTCTCTAGTCTGGAATACAGACTAGAGGAGGGTCACCCTGTCATGTTGGCATTGGAAGATGCAGCCCAAATGAGGCACTTTGCATGCAAAAGTGAGGGTAGTATTTTGGTAATATTTGACCTAAATATATGGCAGAAATGGTAGTTCATAATGTCTTTTTCATATGTTTTTCTCTTTCGTTAATCATATTTCAAAAACAGATAGAAATTACATCTTGAAAATATATTTCAGATAAATTATTAAAAGAAGCCTGAAAAACTTTCATTCTTTTGAGATTTACTCTGTATAATTATTTTCTGAATGTCTTTTTTGGGAAGCGTTCCATCTTTCGAGTCCAGCAAACATTAGCTTTATTTATTCTTTCCCAAAAGGAGCCAGGCTATTTTTATTAAATTAAATTTAATTAATTTTCTGGCTATTTTTACATGCAAATAATAAAATGGTTCAAGCTAATCCATGCTTTTTTTTTTTTTTTTTTTTTTTTTTAAAAAAAAACTAAGGGCCCAGCATTGTGTCCAACATTGAAGTAAGGACCAACACCACAGCAGCAACCTTAAACTGGCAGAACTTTGATGAAGCCTCTTTCAGGTACACCTACCACCTTCTTATGGAGCAGGATGGAAATGCCAGCAAGGCCACACAAATAGTCACAGGCATCGGCATCACCTATGCTACAGTCACCGAGCTAACACCTGGCTCCTCATACACCGTAGAGATCTTCACACAGGTGGGGAATGTCACCGAGTCACTGGCACCTGGCTGGCAGTCATTCTGTACAGGTGAGTAGTCCCACGTGCCTCTTGGACTCCTTCTTGTGTGATGCTGGCCTTGCACGTAGGTTCTTGAAATAAACTCTAGTTGATTAGCTTTTGTGTGGTGTGTGATAGTAGACCCCAAGCTCTCTGAGCATCCTATTAGCTTATTAGTGCTATCTTGCTGCCCGCATCATTTATTCATTCAACAGATATGTATTGAGCATTTACTATATGCCAGGCACTGTTAAAGGACACAGACAAGTCCCTGCCTTTCTGGAACTTTTATTCTGATAGGGAAGACATAATAAACAAGATAAATAGGTTATTAGCTGATGATTACTAAGGAGGGGGGAATAAACAAGGATGGGGGAAATGAGGTGTTTATCTTGGAAAGGCTTCATTGAAAAGGTGACTTTTGAGCAAAGACTTGAAGGGTGTAAAGCAGGCCATGTGAATGTTGGGGCATAGAGCATTACAGGCAGAGGGGCAGCCAGTGCTGGGGTGCCGAGCCTGGAGCGTGCCTGCTGTATTGAAGAAAGAGCAGGAGGTCAGGGTGGCAGAGATGGATCCATGGGCGCAAGAGGGGAAGGGGGAGGAGGTGAGGCCCAAGATGCAAGAGGTGATGGGCCAGGGCATGGATGATGTCCGGGCTTGTAGTTCATAGTTTGGCTTTTACGCTGAAGAAGACGGAAAGGATGTTGTTAAAATGAATGCTCAGCTTTTTTGCCTTTCTTGATCCTGAATGTCTCGATGCAAAAGGTGTGATCTTTTAAAGGGAAGAAGAGCCCTGTGTTTAACTGAGGGAACTTTCAGAGCGTAATCCGGGGAATGTTTTGTGGACGGCTGTTGAGTACTTCTGCTGACAGTTTTGATCGTGGGGCCTTTATCACCTCTGTGTGTGTGTAGCACCCTACTCCCTACCCTCTTTGCATCTGCTTCCTCCCTTCCTTAGACCAAGCCATTCAAATGTGTTTAGGCTGATTTGGAAGGGGAACAGGGGTCTCGTCGGATCAGCCTCCCTGGTAGTGTAGGAGCTGGAACCTTGATGACCTCTGAGTTTTCACATGGAGCGGCTAAAGGGATCCCTGCAGCTTTGAGTCCCTTCTGCTAACTCAGGCTCCATTCACCGGGTCTAGACTCTGATCTTTGGTATTTGGGTGGCTTCCATTGCTAATGTTTATCTTAGCTACAATTATTGTAGCCCATAGCAAAAGAAAGATATCTATGAGCATTTACGAGTGGGGATGGAAAGAACAGGAACAGTGGGAGTAGGTATGCATTGGGCAGGTTACCTTTCCAGGCCTCAGGTGGAGAATGTGGCCGTTGTACTAGGTGACTCTTTAGAACTCCTCCTGCTTTAAAGCACTGCAACATTAAAGTAATGATAACATTCTTCCCCACCCCCGGTACATAAATACAGAGTTTCCCATTTACATCAGTTTTTTGTTGGCCCTCAATAAAACGCTACTGGTCCTCAGATAGGTAGTGAGAAATAACACCACATTTTAGAGATGAAGAAACCAATACCGCTTACCATTGATTATTTAGCTTGTCGTATGTGTAGAAAACACGCTGGACTTGGATTTAGAAAACCTGAGATCCAGTTTTGGCTTCGCCACTGACCAGCCATGTCATCTTTAGCAAATTGCTTAATCTCTCTAAGCCTCGGTTGATTCATCTGCAAAATAGGACAATATTAACCCTGCCTGTTCCAGAAGGATTGTCAAGTGGGCCCCAAAATGAGGTGATGCAGGTGAAGAAGTCGCTACCGCCTCCACTGTGTTGTCGTTGCCCCCCATGGAGCCCTGTGCTCTTCCAGCCTGGACCCTGACAGCCACTGTTTCATTTAATCCTCAGACAGTCCTGCAGTTGAGGCTCAGAACAGTTGGGGGACTGACCCAAGGTCACACAGTTCAGTAAGGCCCTATTCAAGGTCAGCCTCTGCCTCTTCTGTCATGCTCCATGGCTGTCCTCTCATCACCAACGGGCCAGGAACCTCCTGCTCCCCAAGTTTCAGTGTTTGCAAAGACAAAAGTCCAAGAATAGGGCTTCCCTGGTGGCGCAGTGGTTGAGAGTCCGCCTGCCGATGCAAGGGACACGGGTTCGTGCCCCGGTCCGGGAGGATCCCACATGCCGCGGAGCAGCTGGGCCCGTGAGCCATGGCCGCTGAGCCTGTGCGTCCGGAGCCTGTGCTCCGCGACGGGAAGGGCCACGACAGTGAGAGGCCCGCATACCGCAAAAAAAAAAAAAAAGTCCAGGAATCTCATGATGTGCTGTTCTTGCCTTGCAGACCCTGCACCAGTAACCTCCTTCCACTGTGAAGTGGTCCCCAAAGAGCCAACCTTGGTCCTCAGGTGGGCCTGCCCTTTCGGCACCAACACAGGCTTCGAGCTGGAGGTCAGCCACGGAGACTGGGAAAATCTGACAAACCTGGAGAGCTGCTCCTCGGAGAACGGCTCTGAGTACAGGACAGAAGTCACATATTTGAATTTTTCTACCTTGTACAACATCAGCATCACTGCCCGGTCCTGTAACAAGATGGCACCGCCCACCCAGAACACCTGCCTCACTGGCATCACAGGTGGGCTTCAGGGAGGGCAGGGTGGCCAGGTGACATTGTGGTCACCTTGGAAAGCTGACCCAGAGGGTCTGCAAGTGTGGCCTAGAAACCTGTTTCTAAAAAAAATTTATCCAAAAATATTTGTTTTTGTTGGCACAGACTGTTAACCCAATTCTACAGAAATCTAGTCTATATATTCTATAGAATCTATATGATCTATAGAAATCTAGTGAGAGGGAATTTTTTACATTCCAAAAGTTTCCTTCGTTTTACAGAATAATTTGTTGCCACCTTTTCTTTTACGTAAGTTCCCCTAAAATGTTCAAATATACACAAAAGCAAAGGACAGTATAATGGGATCCACGTACCCGTCATCACTCAGTTGAACATTTGTGAGCATTTGACCAGTCTTTTTCATTTGTATCCCCTCCTCCCTTATTGGACTTCTTTGAGACCAGTCCTGGTTATTCTATAGTTTTATTTGTAAGTTTTTCAGTATGTATTGCTGCAAGACAGGGACTCCTTTTCCCTTTCTTTCAAACATAACCACATTACTGTTGCCATTACCCTTAAAAATTTAACAATACTTTTTTTTTTGGCCATGCTGCGTGGCTTGCGAGATCTCAGTTCCCCGACCAGGGATTGAACCTGGGCCACAGGAGTGAAAGCCCGGAATCCTAACTACTAGGCCACCAGGGCACTCCCAACAATCCTTTTTTTTTTTTTTTTACTATTATCAGATAGATATTCAGTCAAGATTCATATTTCCCTAGAATCTGTATTAATAAGCTCCCCAGCTGTTTTGGGAAATGGGATCATTCAGAAGAGATCCCCCTAGTTAATCTTTTCATGATCACCTTTTATTTTGAACTTGGAAAAAATTACTTCTTTGCTTTTTTTTTTAATTGAGATATGGTTGATTTACAATATTATATTAGTTTCAGGTGTACAACATAGTGATTCATGATTTTTATAGATTATACTGCATTTAAAGTTATTATACGATATTGGCCGTATTCCCTGTGCTGTGCAGTATATCTTTGTCACTTATTTATTTCATACATAGTAGTTTGTACCTCTTAACCCCTACCCCTGTCTTGCCCCTCCCCGCTCCCCTCTCCCCACTGGTAACCACCAGTTTGTTTTCTTTATCTATGAGTCTGTTTCTGTTTTGTTATATTCATTCTTTGTTTCATTTTTATCTGTCTTTCGCTCCCTGTGTCTTTGCCAAAATTATGTCTTAGGTCAACCTGGTGGAGTTGGTTTTGCTTTGTGCTTTTTGAATCCTGGATATACTATTTCCTTTAGGGTATCAGAATGTTTCCAAACAATTTCTAAAGAATTGGTGGTTGAAATAGTAAGAAGAAAAGGCTTCTTACTTCAGGGACACTGACTTGGAAAATGGCTGAGGGATTCTACTGACAGAGCCTTGGACTTAGGCAGACCTGGGTTTGATTGTAAAGTCTACCTTTTACCAGCTGTGTGATCTCAGAAAAGCTGCTTAACCTCTCTGAGCCTTGTTTTTCTTAGTTGTAAAAAAGGGGAAATAATACCTACCTTCCAGGACTGTTAATACAAATTAGATGACGTAGTGTAGGTGGAAGATCACTTCGGAGCTACCATGTATGGCTAGTCAAGTTGTGCACTGCATAGTTCCATGGAACATCATTCATATAGTCTACTGTGCGTGTGGGACTCCTTGGAGTTGTGTAGTACACAGCTATATAGGATGGCCCTGGGTCACAATCCTTTGTGTTTCTGCAGCACTCTACAGTGTAATAGAAACATTGAACCTTGTTGGGTACTTTTTTGTAGCTCTCTGTTTTATGATGTCATCTCAGTGGGTATAAGCCACTGAGGAACATAAACCATATGTGATCCGGTATCTCCAGGGCTGAGCACAGTACCTAGTGAAGGGAAGGAGCTTGTTAGAGTTACTTGTTTCTGAAGCTGAGCAGTGCGTGGTAGGGTTAGATAATGACCACTCAGCATTTAGTCCAGTGATCCTCTCACTTTTTAATCTGTAGCTCCCTTTCCTCAGATGAATTTTTATGTACAAATTTAGCATGCTTTTTAAATGTACAACTTTGACACTTTTTTATTTAACATAAAAGTGGAGCTGCATTTTCTCTGAGAAAGGCAGGAAGTGCTGGTGGGATGGGTAAACCGGGGAGAGTTGGAGCGATGGTCTTTTAGCCAACACTTGTTGATTGCTTACTGTGTGCTTGGGTAAGGGACACTACGGTGAGCGTGGCCGGCAAGGTCCCTCTAGTGTAGGACTGAGATAAGCAGTGAGAAGGAAAAGATTTCCAGGCTTTGAGGTGGGTGGAGCTGTCTTGGGTCAGGAAGCTGGGGACTCCTCGCTGGCCCGCTAAAAGGCATAGAGCTGTGGACGGGGTGGGAGCTGATGCTAGGAAACGTCTGTTGAGGCAGTTGACACTTAGACGTTGGACAGCGCCTCCAAGTGGCCACTGCGGTCAGTTACTTGAGAGGTTGCTGAAGGATGGTTTAGAGCTGTGCCTTCCAATAGAAAATCATGTGAGCCTCCTGTATAATAAAAACTTTTCTAGGAGCCACATTAAGAAATTGTAAGAAGGAGCGGCTGGAAATTCCCTGGTGGTTCAGTGGTTAGAACTCTGTGCTTTCACTTCCGGGGGCCCGTGTTCGATCCCTGGTCAGGGAACTAAGATCCCATAAGCTGGCTGGCATGGCCAGGGGAAAAAAAAAAGGAGGAGCTGAAATGAGTTTTGATCTGAGTTTTGATCACATTTTATTTAACTCAGTATGTTAAAATGTTATCATTCCAACATGTATTTTGTATAAAGTGAGTTATTAATGAGATACTTTATGTCCAAACTTGGGCCTGTCACCTTTCAAGTGCTCAGTGGGTACATGTGGTTAGTGGCTGCCATATTGGACAGCATACATTTGGAAAATTGTGTTATGGTCTTTTTTTTTTTTTTGGAGTTCAGTTTTCTCAGTCTCCCTGCATCTTGGTTATAATCACAGAAACACTCAAACTGTATGTGGGAGACCAGTTTAGGTAGAGAGAGTGTGGAGAGAGATCATCTTTAATTCACCTTTTCCTTCCTTTTGTGTTAATTTAGAGAGTGGCTTCACAAGCTTAGCTTGGGAAGGCGAGGCACAGGATCATGAAGGCCACTCACGGAATGTTCCCGTGTGGGCTTTTCTGGTTTCCGGGAAGAGGGTCAGTCGAATTTCTCTAGGCAGAGTTTTAAACCTACCCCAGCAAAAAAACAAGGACTTCGGTGTGAAGGGTGCAGAGCCGGAATGCAGCCAGGTCTCAGGAGAAAGTATGTTCTCTCCACGTCATCTTTGCTTCCTTCTGGGTGACTTTCTGCTTCATCATTGTTCTCTGACCAGCCAATCCTGGGGCCAAGTCCATGTGCTGGCAGATGTCTGCTTTCAGCTCCCAAGTTCTCACCTTGGAGTTCTACCCACACAGTCTCTGTCTTGTTCTCCTTCTGCCCCCATTCTCAAAATAAGGAATCTGGGCTCTCTGGGTCAGGAGGGACTGGGGGAAGATAGAAAAGGCAGGTTATATTCTACAAAAAAGGCTGCCAGGGGGCCACCGTGGCAATGTGGCTGGACCCAGTGAAGAGGTCATTGTCAGTTAGGCAGGCTCCCCAAGGACTTGCCATCTTTGTTCCCCACCAGTTCCCATCCCTGCCCTCTGCTTTGGATTTGCTTTGCATGAGCCCAGCACACAGCTTCCAGAGCAAGGGCAGGACCTGAGTGGGCACTGCAGCAAATCCTCTCCTTCACAATTTTGTTCCTTCTTTGGTTTTCAGTGTTGGGTGATCATGTTTTCTTTTGTTCTGTTTCAGACCCTCCTTCTCCAGATGGATCCCCTAATATTACATCTGTCAGTCACAATTCTGTGAAGGTCAAATTCAGTGGGTTTGAAGCCAGCCACGGACCCATCAAAGCCTACGCTCTCATTCTCACCACTGGGGACGGTAAGGAGGGGTCATTATGGGTTAGACAGCCAGTGGGTGATGGCGTGACTGGGTGCCATTTTTGTGCCCACTGAAACGCATTCATGAGACAAACACACGTCTGGTTTTATACTGCACCCCACGCTTTGGCACTCACCCCAGGGTGGGTGGGTGTAAGCCATTTGCCTGATGAGCTAGGTCAGAGGTTGACAGACTTAGTGTAAAGGGCCAGATAGCAAACATTCTAAGTTTTGCAGGCCCTACAGTCTCCTTCTCAGCTATTCAACTTTGCCATTGTAGTGTGAAAGCAGCCATAGAAGATACAGAAAGAGTCAATATGACTGTTCTAGTATTTACCAAAAGGGGTGGCTGGCTGGATTTGGCCCATGGCCATGATTTTCTTACCTCTGATCTATGTTTTTCATCTCTTTTGCAGCACAGGGTCTTTTAGGTGGCAGAATATTAGTTTTAACCAAGTTCGTCACACACACAGACACACACACACACACACAGACACACACACACACACATGAACACGCAAGCACAAATCATCCTCAAAGGGTGACTTTCTCTTGGAAGAAAAAAGGAAAAGATTTGCGTCTGTAGTGGGAACTTGCAAAGAGCATTGTCATAGCTGAGGGAGGAGGTGGATTAAATGCTGCTTTTCCTTAAAGGGCTCCATTACATTCCCTGGAAGTGAGACGGGAATGATTTGAGGGTGTCTTTGTTAGCTGTGTGTGGGTGCTTTGCCCAAGGTCTGGGTTTAAAGCGGTGAGTTTTGGAAATTCCCTGGCAGTCCAGTGGTTAGGACTCGGTGCTTTCAATACCAGGGGCCCGGGTTCAATCCCCGGTCAGGGAAATAAGATCCCGCAAGCCGTGCGGTGTGGCCAAAACAAAAAAAAAAGGGCAGAGTTTTGCTGTTTTTGGTGATTCTTTAACTGTCAATTATGCAGTGCCACCCTTGCCCCGACTCACAGCCTGTGATGCTGTCCTCATCTCCCTGAAGAAGACAGAGCTCAAACACACTGTCAGGGCTGCGGGGATCCAGGAAGACAAGGGATTTGCTGGTGTTGTAAACCTGCAGCTAAATCTCAAAAAGAGACATTGAGATCTCTCTCTCTCTCTCTCTCTCTCTTTCTGTCTTTTGTTTGGGGCCTGTTTCAAACACCTAGTCATTTTGCTGTGAAGGTATTCAGCAAATCCCAAGCTCAGACCTTTGCTGAACAGGGGAGATGATATTTCATACTGACCAGCCTGACCAGTACCAGCCTGTGATGGATGAGATCACACCCTCCGCGTCAGGTGGTCTGGGTTAGAAATACGACTCTACCACGTAGGCAGTGCAGCTTGGGGCCCCAGGTCTTTTTAGCTTTCTGTGTCTCATTTTCCCACCTGTAAAATGGGGGTAGTAAGCTTATGCGATGAGATTACTGTGGGGATTAAATGAGTTAATGTAAGTAAAGCCCTTAGAACTTAATATAAGGAAAACCTGGCAGAGAGAGCATATGTGAGAGATGGCAGCTGTCACCACCATCACCCTGGTCATTATTTAGAAACGAGGGAGACTTAAATCTCTGCAATCATTTTCTTATGGCTTTCCTTCTGTGTGCCTTTCTTAGCTGTTCACCCGTCAGCAGATGTATTGAGATATACGTACGAAGATTTCAAAAAGGGGGCCTCGGATACCTATGTGACATACCTCATAACAACAGAAGAAAAGAGATGTTCTCAGGGCTTATCTGAAGTCTTGAAATATGAAATCAATGTTGGGAACGAGTCCACCACACACGGCTATTACAACGGGAAGCTGGAACCTCTGGGTTCCTATCGGTAATGCCTTGTGTTTTTTGCCCTTTGGGGGCTGGGCCTCTGAGTGCAAAACGATATGTGGGCCATCAGACACTTCTCAGCCACCCCTCTTTCCTCTTGTCATCCCACAGGGCTTCTGTGGCTGGCTTCACCAATATTACCTTCAACCCTCACAGTGATGGACTCATAGACGGGGCTGAGAGCTACGTGTCCTTCAGTCGCTATTCAGATGCTGTTTTCTTGCCCCAGGATCCAGGTAGAGGAGCATCTTAGCAATGCATTGACTTTTTGCTTCCAATATCCACAGGAGCATGGGGGTCTGCACACCTCCCTGGGGCCCCAAGGAGGGTAGGAGAGCCTGGTCTCTCCTCTCAGAAGCTGAGATATCACTGGGCCATCAGGACCCAGCTCAGCTTCCTCTTCTGAGGTCCCCACGGGCCCCGCCCACCACACTCCCTTCACTGAATTCCAGTTACACTTCCAATTGGCAAACACTGTTTGCTCCTTTTTTCTCAGTGTAGTCATTTCTGTGCCCACGTACCAGACACACATGTGACTTTTAGGGCATGGAACCCTTGAATATTAGGATCAGAAGGAGCCATGGGAATCATCTTGTCCAGCTCCCATTTTATTTTATTTTTAAAAAGTTTATTGAGAGAGAGCAGACAGCAGAAGCAAGAAGATCTACAATCCTGCAGCCTATGGAACAAAAACCACATTCACAGAAAGAGAGACAAGATGAAAAGGCAGAGGGCTATGTACCAGATTAAGGAACAAGATAAAACCCCATAAAAACAACTAAATGAAGTGGAGATAGGCAACCTTCCAGAAAAAGAAGTCAGAATAATGATAGTGAAGATGATCCGGGACCTCGGAAAAAGAATGGAGGCAAAGATTGAGAAGATGCAAGAAATGTTTAACAAAGACCTAGAAGAATTAAAGAACAAACAAACAGAGATGAACAATACAATAACTGAAATGAAAACTACACTAGAAGGAATCAATAGCAGAATAACTGAGTCAGAAGAACGGATAAGTGACCTGGAAGACAGAATGGTGGAATTCACTGCTGCGGAACAGAATAAAGAAAAAAGAATGAAAAGAAATGAAGACAGCCTACGGGACCTCTGGGACAACATTAAACGCAACAACATTCGCATTATAGGGGTCCCAGAAGGAGAAGAGACAGAGAAAGGACCCGAGAAAATATTTGAAGAGATTATAGTCGAAAACTTCCCTAACATGGGAAAGGAAATAGCCACCCAAGTCCAGGAAGCGCAGAGTCCCATACAGGATAAACCCAAGGGGAAACATGCCGAGACACATAGTAATCAAATTGGCAAAAATTAAAGACAGAAAAATATTGAAAACAGCAAGGGAAAAACAACAAATAACATACAAGGGAACTTCCATAAGGTTAGCAGCTGATTTGTCAGCAGAAACTCTACAAGCCAGAAGGGAGTGGCATGATATACTTAAAGTGATGAAAGGGAAGAACCTACAACCAAGATTACTCTACCCGGCAAGGATCTCATTCAGATTCAATGGAGAAATCAAAAGCTTTGCAGACAAGCAAAAGCTAAGAGAATTCAGCACCACAAGACCAGCTCTAAAACAAATGCTAAAGGAACTTCTCTAAGTGGGAGACAGAAGAGAAGAAAAGGACCTACAAAAACAAACCCAAAACAATTGGGAAAATGGTCATAGGAACATTCATATTGATAATTACCTTAAACGTGAATGAATTAAATGCTCCAACCAAAAGACACAGGCTTGCTGAATGGATACAAAAACAAGACCCATATATATGCTGTCTACAAGAGACCCACTTCAGACCTAGGGACACATTCAGACTGAAAGTGAGGGCATGGAAAAAGATATTCCATGCAAATGGAAATCAAAAGAAAGCTGGAGTAGCAATACTCATATCAGATAAAATAGACTTTAAAATAAAGAATGTTACAAGAGACAAGGAAGGACACTACATAATGATCAAGGGATCAATCCAAGAAGAAGATATAACAATTATAAATATATATGCAGCCAACATAGGAACACCTCAATACATAAGGCAACTGCTAACAGCTATAAAAGAGGAAATCGACAGTAACACCATAATAGTGGGGGACTTTAACACCTCACTTACACCAATGGACAGATCATCCAAAATGAAAATAAATAAGGAAACAGAAGCTTTAAATGACGCAATAGACCAGATAGATTTAATTGATATTTATGGGACATTCCATCCAAAAACAGCAGATTACACTTTCTTCTCAAGTGCGCATGGAATATTCTCTAGGATAGATCACATCTTGGGTCACAAATTAAGCCTCAGTAAATTTAAGAAAATTGAAATCATACCAAGCATCTCTTCTGACCACAACGCTATGAGATTAGAAATGAATTACAGGGAAAAAAACATAAAAAACACAAACACATGGAGGCTGAACAATACGTTACTAAATAACCAAGAGATCACTGAAGAAATCAAAGAGGAAATCAAAAAATACCTAGAGACAAATGACAATGAAAACACGACGATCCAAAACCTATGGGATGCAGCAAAAGCAGTTCTAAGAGAGAATTTTATAGCTATACAAGCCTACCTCAAGAAACAAGAAAAATCTCAAATAAACAATCTAACGTTACACCTAAAGGAACTAGAGAAAGAAGAACAAACAAAACCCAAAGTTAGCAGAAGGAAAGAAATCATAAAGATCAGAGCAGAAATAAATGAAATAGAAACAAAGAAAACAGTAGCAAAGATCAGTAAAACTAAAACCTGGTTCTTTGAGAAGATAAAAAAAATTGATAAACCATTAGCCAGACTCATCAAGAAAAAGAGGGAGAGGACTGAAATCAATAAAATTAGAAATGAAATAGGAGAAGTTACAACGGACACCATAGAAATACAAAGCATCCTAAGAGACTACTACAAGCAACTCTATGCCAATAAAATGGACAACCTGGAAGAAATGGACAAATTCTTAGAAGGTACAACCTTCCAAGACTGAACCAGGAAGAAATAGAAAATATGGACAGACCAATCACAAGTAATGAAATTGAAATGGTGATTAAAAATCTTCCCACAAACAGAAGTCCAGGACCAGATGGCATCACAGGTGAATTCTATCAAACATTTAGAGAAGAGCTAACACCCATCCTTCTCAAACTCTTCCAAAATATTGCAGAGGAAGGAGCACTCCTAAACTCATTCTTTGAGGCCACCATCACCCTGATACCAAAACGAGACCAAGATACTACAAAAAAAGAAAATTACAGACCAACATCACTGATGAATATAGATGCAAAAATCCTCAACAAAATACTAGCAAACAGAATCCAACAACACATTAAAAGGATCATACACCATGATGAAGTGGGATTTATCCCAGGGATGCAAGGGTTCTTCAATATACGCAAATCATGCAATGTGGTACACCATATCAACAAATTGAAAAATAAAAATCATATGATCATCTCAGTAGATGCAGAAAAACTTTTGGCAAAATTCAACTCCCATTTATGATAAAAACTCTCCAGAAAGTGGGCATAGAGGGAGCCTACCTCAACATAATAAAGGCCATATATGACAAACCCACAGCAAACATTCTCAGTGGTGGAAAACTGAAAGCATTTCCTCTAAGATCAGGCACGAGACAAGGATGTCCACTCTCACCACTATTATTCAACATGGTTTTGGAAGTCCTAGCTACGGCAATCCGAGAAGAAGAATAAAAGGAATCCAAATTGGAAAAGAAGAAGTAAAACTGTCATTGTTTGCAGATGACATGATACTATACATAGAGAATCCTAAACATGCCACCAGAAAACTACTAGAGCTAATCAAAGAATTTGGTGAAGTTGCAGGATACAAAATTAATGCACAGAAATCTCTTGCATTCCTATACACTAATGATGAAAAATCTGAAAGTGAAATTAAGAAAACACTGCCATTTACCATTGCAACAAAAAGAATAAAATACCTAGGAATAAACCTACCTAGGGAGACAAAAGACCTGTATGCAGGAAACTATAAGACACTGATGAAAGAAATTAAAGATGATACCAACAGATGGAGAGACATACCATGTTCTTAGATTGGAAGAATCAATACTGTGAAAATGACTAAACTATACTACCCAAAGCCATCTACAGATTCAATGCAATCCCTATCAAATTACCAATGGCATTTTTTATGGAACTAGAACAAAAAATCTTAACATTTGTATGGATACACAAAAGACCCTGAATAGCCAGAGCAGTCTTGAGGGAAAAAAACGGAGCTGGAGGAATCAGACTCCCTGACTTCAGACTATACTACAAAGCTACAGTAATCAAGAGGATATGGTACTGGCACAAAAACAGAAACATAAATCAATGGAACAAGATAGAAAGCCCAGAGGTAAACCCACGCACCTGTGGTCAACTAATCTATGACAAAGGAGGCAAGGATACACAATGGAGAAAAGACAGTCTCTTCAATAAGTTGGTGCTGGGAAAACTGGACAGCTACATGTAAAAGAATGAAATTAGAACACTCCCTAACACCATACACAAAAATAAACTCAGAATGGATTAGAGACCTAAATGTAAGACCAGACACTATAAAACTCTTAGAGGAAAACATAGGAAGAACACTCTTTGACATGAATCACAGTAAGATCTTTTTTGATCCACCTCCTGGAGTAATGGAAATAAAAACAAAAATAAACAAATGGGCCCTAATGAAACTTAAAAGCTTTTTGCACAGCAAAGGAAACCATAAACAAGGCAAAAAGACAACCCTCAGAATGGGAAAAAATATTTGCAAACGAATCAACGGACAAAGGATTAATCTCCAAAATATATAAACAGCTTATGCAGCTCAATATTAAAAAAACAAACAACCCAATCCAAAGGTGGACAGAAGACCTAGATGTAGATGTAGAGGACAGACGTATGGACACCAAGCAGGGAAAGCAGTGGGGGGATGGTGGTGGTGGTGTGATGAATTGGGCGATTGGGATTGACATGTATACAGTGATGTGTATGAAATTGGTGACTAATAAGAACCTGCTGTATAAAAAAATAAAATAAAATTCAAAAAAAGTTAATTGAAATACAGTTGATTTACAATGTTGTGTTAGTTTCTGGTGCACAGCAAAGTGATTCAGTTATACATACATATATTCTTTTCCATTATGGTTTATCACAGGATATTGAATATAGTTCTCTGTGCTCTACAGTAGGGCCTTGTTGTTTATCCATCCTATATGTAATAGTTTTCATCTGCTAATCCCAAACTCCCAGTCCTTCCCTCCCCCACCCTCCCTCCCCATTGGCAACCACAAGTCTGTTCTTTGTGTCTGTGAGCCTGTTTCTATTTCGTAGATAGGTTCATTTTTGTCATATTTTCGATTCCACATAAAAGTGATATCATATGGCATGTCTTCCTCTTTCTGACTGACTTCACTTTAGTATCATCTTCTCTAGTTGTCTGTGAACACCTCTTGAAATGCCTCCCATTTGGACTTTTCCCAGGTGTCATCTGTGGAGCAGTGTTTGGATGTATCTTTGGTGCCTTGGTTATTGTGGCCGTAGGAGGCTTCCTGTTCTGGAGAAAGAAAAGGTGACTATTGCTTATGTTAACAATAGTATCCTACAATAGTTTTTTTTTTTTTTTTTTTTTGTGGTATGTGGACCTCTCACTGTTGTGGTCTCTCCCGTTGCGGAGCACAGGCTCCAGACGCGCGGGCTCAGCGGCCATGGCTCACGGGCCCAGCCGCTCCGCGGCATGTGGGATCTTCCCGGACCGGGGCACGAACCCGTGTCCCCTGCATTGGCAGGCTGACTCTCAACCACTGAGCCACCAGGGAAGCCCAATAATATCCTACTTTTAAAGGGAGCTTTGTGTTGTGGGTAACCAGACAGTCACACAAATGGAAGGGATAGTATAGTGAGCCCCCAGGTCCCCATCATCCAGAGTCTTCACTGTCTGGCCAGTCTTATTTCATCTCAGTCTCTGAGCTGGAGGGTTTTCTTTTATTTATTTATTTATTAAAAAAATTTTTTTTAAAGCATTATTATTTTTTAAATATATTTATTTATTTGGTTGCACCGGGTCTTAGTTGTGGCAGGCAGGCTCCTTAGTTGCAGCTTCAGGGCACCTTAGTTGCGGCATGCATGTGGGATCTAGTTTCCTGACCGGGGGTTGAACCCAGGTCCCCTGCATTGAGAGCTCAGAGTCTTAACCACTGGACCACCAGGGAAGTCCCTGTGAGCTGGCGGGTTTTAAAGCATTAGGTCATGGTAAACACTGCAACAGAAGGGGCTGCTTTCAAACAGGCATTCTAGTTCACAAACCAGAGTGTTAAGAGATGGCGTTTTAGAGTCAGCTAAGTTTGAACACACGCTCTGTCTGTGACTGGCGGTTAGGGAGCTTGGCTTTAATGTCTTGGATAATCTATGATACGGGGATGATAACAGTGCCTAACTCGTGTCGCCTAGGAGCATTAAATTAAAAAAAGTGATTTGACAGTATCTTATACCTCTTATGCTATTATTATTTTATCTGTACAGTTACTCTTTGGGGTAGTTAAATAGTAAAAATAGCAACTCTGTCTTGAGCACTTACTGTGTGCCTGGACTTGTGCTTTTCATGAATTCTCTCGTGCATGAGGCTCTATGAGGCAGGTGTCCTAAGCCCCATTGCAAGGATGCAGAAGCTGAGTGTAGGAAGTGTGGAAATGGACTTGAACCTGGTCTTTGCTTTTCATTGCACACCCTCCTGCCTGACCATGCAGGGTGTGAAGCCTGTTTATCAGCTGGGATTTATTCACTGTTATCGGGTGCTGCCAGCCAGGGGATTTCATCCTAGCCCAGGGTTTCTAATGCATCCTACGCCTGGTCTTCTGCCACCACCTTGCTCTCGTGGGTTGACAGGCAGTGCCCGTATTACATCTTTTTGCATTAGATTCTGATTTTTTTTTTCGAGGGAGGGGTCAAAAACAGCTTTATTGTTTCTTATTTAAAAAAAAAGTTTTACGTATTTACGGCAAGAAGTAAACAGAAAAGAAGGGCAAAGAAAAGAAATAATCCATAGTCACACCCATACAAAACTACTCTTAACATCGATGTGATTACAAAACTTAGACAAATACGCACACACATCCTCACAAACAGAATCATATTATACATATCATTTTCTGGCCTGCTTTGTTCACAAGACGTTGTGGATGGCTTCAGACCTTCCTCATTTTAAGTGGCTGTTGAGTATTCAGCTGTCTAGAAATTACTCAACCAAATTCCTGATGTTTTCAGGTATTTTGTTTATTTGTTTATTTGCCACAGTTGCTTATCCTTGTGTGTAAATCTGGGCACATTCATGATTACCCCCTTAGGCTAAATTCCAAGCTGGGAAATTGCTGGGTCAGTGGGTATGCATGTTATCAATTTTGATACGTGCTGCGAAATTGCCTTCCAGAAAGTTTTCTTCTTTTAACGCCAGCATGGGGTTTAGCCAGCAGTACAGGAGAGTGCCAGGTGCCCGACCACCTTGCCGACACTGGGTGTATTTTCTGGTTTATTACATTAACTTTCTCAGAAAGGCTTTCTCAAAGCCAAAACCAAAACCAAAGCCAAACGAATAACAAACGAAGAAAACAAAAACCAGAGCACTAAAGAACGAGTGTGGCTTTACGCTAGGGTGGTGCTGCTGGTATGTATTTACCCAGAGAAATTCCTACACATTGCTTGAGCAAGATTCTTCAATACTTTATTTATACACCCTCCTGCCTGACCATGCAGGGTGTGAAGCCTGTTTATCAGCTGGGATTTATTCACTGTTATCGGGTGCTGCCAGCCAGGGGATTTCATCCTAGCCCAGGGTTTCTAATGCATCCTACGCCTGGTCTTCTGCCACCACCTTGCTCTCGTGGGTTGACAGGCAGTGCCCGTATTACATCTTTTTGCATTAGATTCTGATTTTTTTTTTCGAGGGAGGGGTCAAAAACAGCTTTATTGTTTCTTATTTAAAAAAAAAGTTTTACGTATTTACGGCAAGAAGTAAACAGAAAAGAAGGGCAAAGAAAAGAAATAATCCATAGTCACACCCATACAAAACTACTCTTAACATCGATGTGATTACAAAACTTAGACAAATACGCACACACATCCTCACAAACAGAATCATATTATACATATCATTTTCTGGCCTGCTTTGTTCACAAGACGTTGTGGATGGCTTCAGACCTTCCTCATTTTAAGTGGCTGTTGAGTATTCAGCTGTCTAGAAATTACTCAACCAAATTCCTGATGTTTTCAGGTATTTTGTTTATTTGTTTATTTGCCACAGTTGCTTATCCTTGTGTGTAAATCTGGGCACATTCATGATTACCCCCTTAGGCTAAATTCCAAGCTGGGAAATTGCTGGGTCAGTGGGTATGCATGTTATCAATTTTGATACGTGCTGCGAAATTGCCTTCCAGAAAGTTTTCTTCTTTTAACGCCAGCATGGGGTTTAGCCAGCAGTACAGGAGAGTGCCAGGTGCCCGACCACCTTGCCGACACTGGGTGTATTTTCTGGTTTATTACATTAACTTTCTCAGAAAGGCTTTCTCAAAGCCAAAACCAAAACCAAAGCCAAACGAATAACAAACGAAGAAAACAAAAACCAGAGCACTAAAGAACGAGTGTGGCTTTACGCTAGGGTGGTGCTGCTGGTATGTATTTACCCAGAGAAATTCCTACACATTGCTTGAGCAAGATTCTTCAATACTTTATTTATATTTTTTTGTTTGTTTGTTTGCGGTACGCGGGCCTCTCACTGTTGTGGCCTCTCCCGTTGCGGAGCACAGGCTCCGGACGCGCAGGCTCAGCGGCCATGGCTCACGGGCCCAGCCGCTCCGCGGCATGTGGGATCTTCCCGGACCGGGGCACGAACCTGTGTCCCCTGCATCAGCGGGCGGACTCTCAACCACTGCGCCACCAGGGAAGCCCTTCAATACTTTTAGATGGTATAAAAGAGAGTAACTTCACAGGCTTATACTCAGCATTTGCTGCTTAGACCGTTAAGCCTAATATTTGTGAGCAGGAAGTAATGCTGTGTATGAACTAATGCTCAGCGAAAAGGCATTTTGTAGGTACACAAAGGGGACAAAGCACAGAATTAAGCTGTTTTGATCTAATGGGTCTTTCTTTTTCTTTCAAAACAGGAAAGATGCCAAGAACAATGACGTGTCCTTTTCTCAAATTAAGTAAGTCTCTAGAGTTGTGTACCTTAATACATTTAATCCCTCAATCTGTTCAGTGCCTATTTTGAGTTTTTTTTTTTTTTTGATGGAAACTGCTGCCATTTTTCCCGATTGACAGGTTTGGACCTAACCATCCACAAGTCCTTATTAGCCTTGTTATTCTGCAAGGAGCCTACGTTTCCTAGTCTCCTGAAGCTATTAGCTTCCTTGGCGTGTCGTACAGTGGCAAGGGGAACCATACTTTTGCCATATAGTCTACCAACAAATACATATTTTGTGATTCAAAAAAGGTTATGAAGATCTAGGAGGAGAGAACTTGCTCAAAGTCACAAAACCAATCAGTTATATAACAGGGTCTAGAAGTCAGATTTCCTGATTCATATTTCATTGTTTTGTAAATAACATTATAGTGCCACCACCTGCCACCGCCCTCCCGCCCGCCTATTGTACTACAGGTTTTCTTTGGGAAGATGTTTACTATCATCTCCAAAGTCATGGTTGAGTCATTTTTTTCTAACTGCTTATTTTTTTTCTTTCCTTTTCTATGATGAAGACCTAAAAAGTGAGTAAACTCTCCACTTTAAAAAAAAATAACTTGTATTTTTCTATTTTGAGTGTGAACTTGGTTGAACGCAAAAAATCCCGTTTTGTTTTCCTAGATCCAAGTTAATCAAAGTGGAGAATTTTGAGGCCTACTTTAAGAAACAGCAAGCTGACTCCAACTGTGGATTTGCAGAAGAATATGAAGTATGTGGCTATAAATGTTGTGTTTTTAATTGCTCTACGTTTTTCCTGAAAGTTGGAAAACTGCCTGTTTCCGTTTTATGGTGAAGCTTTGGGTGAGAGGCAGCCCTCTTTGAGGGGAGAGAGAAGCTCTTGCATGTCCCCCGGGGGCCCCTCTGAAACCTCTTGGGGAGGATCCCTCCTTGCTTCATCCAGCTTCTGGAAGCGCCAAGCATTCTTGACTTGTGGCCTTATAACCTCCATCTTCACATGTCTCCCTTGTGTGTCCGTATCTCAGTGTCTTTTCTTCTCTTATAAAGACACCAGTGATATTGCATTAAGGGCCCTGCCCTACTGCAGTATGACCTCATCTTATCTTGAGTACATCTGCAAAAGCTGTATTTTCAACTCAGATTTCATTCACAGGTACCAGGGGTTAGAACTTCTGCATATCTATTTTAGGGGCGCAATGTTACCCATAACATCTCTGCATTCCCACTTTGTTCTGTCATACTCTCTGAGCAGTATAACTAACATTTGAACACTGAATAAATGAACAAATCATATGTTCTGTCATACTCTCTGAGTAGTATAACTAACATTTGAACATTGAATAAATGAACAACTCATATGTTCTGTTTTTAGGATCTGAAGCTTGTTGGAATTAGTCTACCTAAGTACGCAGCTGAACTGGCTGAGAATAGAGGAAAAAATCGCTATAATAATGTTCTACCTTGTAAGTTGTTTTTTCCACATTACTTTCTCTTTTTTCCATCAGTGGCATCACATCTCTAACAGTAGAGGGGAGAAGAATCCAGACACGAACTAACCACTTCCGTAGCCATTCCTTAGTCACCTTCTGTGTGCTGAGCACGGTGTTTAGGCATATGCCATTGAATTCAGTCCTCACAATAGCCTTATGAAATAGGTAGTAGAATAGTCACTTAGCAGATGAGGAAAATGAGGCACAGAGTGGCTAGGTGATTTGTCCAGAGTCACACAGATAGTCATGGTGGGACCAGACTTGGACCGAGTCTGTCAGTTTCATTCAGGGAAAAGGCCAGAGTCTGTGCTTTGAACCCCTTTATTCCCACAGCTCTTTTATTTCAGTTAGTATAGTTCTGGAATGAAAGGGAGCAGGGCGAGGGCAGGCAGGGAGTAATGCTTTCTGTTTGTCCAGACACGTCTCTGGTTGGCTGTGTACATTCCACGGCTAAATATGAATTACATTTGGGTTCATTCCTGTCTTTTTTTTTTTTTTTTTTTTTAATTATCTGTTTTACTTGAAGTTGTGTTTTTCTTTCCTGGCCTGAAATGTTAACTTCTGTTTAGATTCAGGATTTTCTAGCTCCTCCCTTCGTTCTCTTCATTCCTCGCCGCCCCTCCAGCACTTATATTGACAGCAGACATTGACTCATGCGTGTGCTGAGAGAAACACTTTTAAAACTAGGCTGTCAGGATCTGCCTCAGCTCTGTGCTTTGAGGGTTAACTCAGGTTTATTGGCCTGTTCTTGTGGATGTCTGTGGAGATTTTCAGATCCAGAGTTTGGCTGTTGTTTTTATTGGGAAGATTTTAGGCTGAAACTCATGTTGGTAACTGGGTTTAGAATTGTTGTTATTTTGTTCAGGGGAGGGTGAGATAGGGATAGTCAAAGGCAGGGAAACATAGGAGCTGCTGCTTATAGCTCAGGCTGATAGTTGAGATTTTAAGGATATTATTTCATTTCTGGAGTTGGACAATTTTGTGTGTATTTTGAGATGACAGTATATAGGAAACATGAGAATTTTATGCTTTACATCCTTCCACTTATAGTAGTCTTTTTTAAAAAATTGAAGTGTAGTTGATTTACAATGTTCTGTTAATTTCTGCTGTACAGCAAAGTGATTCCATTTTATATATATATATATTATATATATACACATTTTTTTCATATTCTTTTCCATTATGGTTTATTATAGGATATTGAATATAGTTCAGTATAACTGTGTTATACAGAACCATGTTGTTTATCTATTTTATATATAGTAGTTTAAATCTGCTAATCCCAAACTCCTAATTTATCCCCCCACTCCCTTTCCCCTTTGATAACTATATGTTTGTTTTCTATGCCTGTGAGTCTGTTTCTGTTTTGTAAATAAGTTCATTTGTGTCATATCTTAGATTCCACATATACCACTTACAGTAGTCTTATACATTCAGTTTATTCTTGCATTTGGGACTGTCTTTTTATAACAACTTTTTTTTATGAGAATAGAGAAAGTGTGAAAGTCTTAACTGAGTATCTACCCTGCTATAGTGAAAAGGGCACTGGATTTGAATTCTGACTGCCATTCACCAGATGAAAGTGCTTGGAAAAATCACTTAATCTCTCTGACCCTCAGTTTCATCCTCTTTAAAATGGGCACAGAAGTTTGTAGTGTGGTTATAAGGAATAAATAACATTGCTGAGGGCCTTTCCTGGGTCATGGCACTCACCCAAGGATGGTAATAGTTGGTTTCGCCTGAGAAGGCGGTCTGGAGTGGTTAAGACCTTAGAAACTGTTGCCAGGCTGCCCGGGTTCTAACTGTGGCCCTGCCACTGACTAGCTCTGCTCAGGTGATCATGTGACTTCTCTGTGCCATAGTCACATCTGGTGACTGTGGGAATGAAATAAGGTCGTGGATGTAAAACGCCAAGCCATGCAGCTTCAAGGTGTGATGGAGCCCCTGTGTTGCCATTTTGTACTTTTTTCTCTTGTATTCAACTCACCTCACACCTTTGCTTCTATTCTAACATGGAACTTTTTTCTTTGAATGTCACAGACGATATTTCCCGTGTCAAACTTTCAGTCCATGCCCATTCAACTGACGACTACATCAATGCCAACTACATGCCTGTAAGTGGAGAGTGGGGCTCATTGTGCTGGCTGGTTAGGAGGAGGTCCTCCTGCTGTCTCTTTGAGGTTGAATATGTGCTGCTTTCCATTTTTAGGGCTACCATTCCAAGAAAGATTTTATTGCCACACAAGGACCTTTACCCAACACTTTGAAAGATTTTTGGCGTATGGTTTGGGAGAAGAATGTCTATGCCATTGTCATGTTGACCAAATGTGTTGAGCAGGGAAGGGTAAGTATCTTATTTTTATTATTGTTCAGTTCAATTCGTTCATTCATATTTACTGTGGTGGGAGGGTATCTTAAAAATGATTTGTCTTTTTTTAAAAAAACACTCCCCCAAATATTAGCACCTCTGTTCTTAGAAGTGTGTTTTCTGACTTTTTCTCCTCTAAGAGAAAAATTTTAGAAAAACGTTAAAAAATTCTATGTTATCATTACCTTCCTTTGTGGACAGAGAGCAATGTTCTCTATTCATTAAGTCACTGCTGCTGGCATTAATGAACAGCAGGGGTTGGGTTAGTGAGGCTGAAGAAGTCATGTGCAGCTCCCTTCTTCGTCAGCTCTGTGGATGAGTGCAAGCCCGACCTGCCTCCGAGCAACCAGCTGCACCTGTGAGATGACCAATTTGACCAACTCAGTGATTTTCAAACTTAGTCTATAGCATTGCAACCCTTTCTTTATGCAAAATTTCTGATGTATCCCCAGAGAAGTCTCAGCAGTTCCCTCTCCCTTCTGATGGCCTGGAATCCTCCCAGACACTTCCATCAAAGATAAGATTTCTTCTAGTAATAAAATCCCATCTTTCCATAAGTGGAACAAGGAGAATTGAAAAACATGGGCTAAATTCAGAAAGTCTGTGCCTGAGGAATAGGACCTAATGTGCTTTCTGATTTTTTTCATGTAGGTTTGTTACTTAAAGAATAGGACAGGAGTCAAGTCCCTTTTCTTTTTGGGCCATGCTAGTTCCCCAACCAGGGATCGAACCCGTGCCCCCCCTGCATTGGAAGGGCAGAATCTTAACCGCTGGACCACCAGGGAAGTCCCAAGGAGTCAAGTCCCTAAGCCAGTGGTTCTGAAACTTTAACGTGCATCAGAGTCACCTGCAGGGTGGTTCCCCCTCCAGAGTTTCTAATTCAGAGGGTTTGTGGTGGACCTCCGAGTTGCGTTTCTGACAATTCCCGCTGCTGCCGCTCCAGGGTGCATGCTTTGAGTAGCACTATCCCGGAGATAGTGCCAACCTGTCAGGCATCATTTCTTTTTGTTTTTCTTTTTTTAATAGTAGAGCTTTTATTTATTTATTTATTTAATTTTTGGCTGTGTTGGGTCTTCGTTGCTGCACGCAGGCTTTCTCTAGCTTGGCGAGCGGGCTCTAGAGCCCAGGCTCAATAGTTGTGCCGCACGGGCATAGTTGCTCCGCGGCATGTGAGATCTTCCTGGACCAGGGCTCGAACCCGTGTCCCCTGCATTGGCAGATGGATTCTTAACCACTGCGCCACCAGGGAAGTCCCTGGGCATCATTTCTTTTAATGTTCTGTTCTTTCACTTTAATTTAGCAGATGTTTATCCAGCCCCAAGTACGTGTCAGGTCCTGTGCTAGGGGCTGGGGTTGGAGGAAGGAAAGGTAACAAAGAACAGTTAAGAGGTGGTTCCCTTCTTCATATTATTTGTGACACAGAAGGTTGGGCTCTGCACCCGCTTCTTGCATTAGAACAGGTCATTATGCAAACGAAAGGCCATTGCTTATGAATGCAAATAAACTTTATGGTGCTGTTGAGCCCAGGGCCTCACACATGGAACATTCTCCTAAATATCTGTTAGATAAATGAAAACGACATAGTTAAATTAACGAAGAACAAGAAGATGAATTTAATGGGTCCTTGTTCATCATCAGGCGGGAGAGAAGTGGATGTTACTGACCCTGGGTGACGGGGGAAGAGAGCCGGTGTATTTTCTGCACTAGATTCTCCATATATGTTATTTTTTCCTATAGCAACCCTGTGAGGTGTTATTATTTTATAGATGGGGAAACTGAAGCTTAGAGTTTAAGAACTTGCCCACAAGGTAGTAACATAAATCCAGCGGGTAAGAGACAACCTGGGCAAAAACTCCATGTCAGTGTGTGTCCCAGTCCTGTGTTCTTTCTTGGAGCAGTGGTCCAGAAGCCGGGATCTTTTAAAAAATACAGATCCCTGGGTCAGAGTCAGCATCTCTGGAGGTGGGAAGCAGGTATCTGTTTTTAAAGCAAAACAAACCTCCGAGGTGAGTCAGATATCAGTCAGGGTTAGAAACCATTGCAGGAGAGCACACTTTGGAAAGTTTAGAGAGAGAGTGTGTGTATATATGTGTGTGTGTGTTTTCAGTCAGTTACTAAATGGGGATTCAGGTAGTCTCAGAGAGCAGTTGTTTCCTGATTTTTGTTTCTGTTCACATCTGCCCATTGACTTTATAAAAATCAAAGACCCCCAAATGATTTAATCTGATTCTCTTTATCGGTGTCCATATTTGTATTGCAATTAGTGTGTATCTAAAAGTATTGGGAAAAGTTCTCATTTCTTCTGCTGCTTAGGGTTATAGGTCAGTCAGAGAAGTTTAGTTCAGGGAGCAGTTAGTGGAATGGCTGCTGGAGGCCTGGGGGAGCTGGGTGGGCATGGTGTCCCCTGTGAAGGAACAGCTGCTGCTTAGCTCTGAGTCAGTTTTTGTGCAGAAATGGGGGCTCAGTGTTGGCTAGATCTTCTGATTTTTCAAGAGAAGCCAGAAATCTGGATTTTTATGAGAAAACTCCCAAATTTAAAAGAGTTGGCAGGAATCGTAAATTAAAAAAAAAAAAATTCCAAGTGTCAGACAGAACCCACCTAAGGGATGGATTCAGACCCCGGGCGGTGCTAGTTTTCAATATCTGGTCTCCTTGTGAGGCTTTCATGATGGTAGATGGTTTGATCTGAGTCTTTGTATAAAAACACATTTTATTCTAGACCAAATGTGAGGAGTACTGGCCCTCCAAGCAGGCTCAGGACTATGGGGACATAACGGTGGCAATGACGTCAGAAATTGTTCTACCAGAATGGACCATCAGAGACTTCACAGTGAAAAATGTAAGTAAGAGGTCAAGAAGGATAAGTCTCATGTAACATTAACATATATAAATCTTGGGTTGATACTTTTTAGGTTGGTATTAACCAGTTTTTTTATGCATCAGAATTATGTTTTTGCTTTTTTCTTTACAGAATAAAACAATCCATATCTGCATATACTCTAAGGCAACCCTTTGGCTTTGCTTTCTTAAAGAGAATTTCCTAAGTTGTTCTTAAATAAAGTGAATCTTGAGAGCATGGCTCAGTATCTGTACTCCTTTCCTTCCACTTCCACGTGACCTGCTCATAGAATTTTTGTTACAAATCCAGGCCGTTTTGGATTATTTGGTTGGAAATATGACATCAGGAGTGGCTATTTGCTGTTGGAATAGTTTATAATGACAGTTACAATAATAGGATTCCAGGACATATACACATGGCCTCCCTTCCCCCAAAATGTTATGAAAACAAATGCAGTTAAATGGTGTAGGCATTCTAGGAAGTCAGTTTATGTGTCCTTTTAATTTTTTTAAGGATGTTTAAAAATAGAATCAGTGTCATGAGCAACATTGATATCTTTTGATGGCTGCATAAATCAATATAACCCTCTGCAGTTTATATCAAAGGCATAAAAATATCCATCCCCCTTTGATCTGGTGGTTCCAAGTTTGAGAATCTGCCCTAAAGAAATAATCTGAAGTATAGGAGAAGGCTTATTATTCATAAAGATGTATGTGAGTATTATTTATAATGGGGGGAAAATTTGGAAACCATGCAAATATCTAGCTTTCGGAGTATAGATAATGAAACTATAGGTTATCTAGTCACTGTATCATCATTCAGCTATTAGAAATGATGGCTATGGAGACTGCATAATTACCATGAGGAGAAGTTAGAGTGTAATTAAGGGAAATATACTAGGAGACAAAATTTTATGCACATTATGAATAGTGCATAAAAGAAAAACCTGGACGTAGATTTTGTGGAGTTGCATTTATGAGGGGCTGGTGGGCTGGTTTCCAGGTTATGAGAATTATCCTTGCAGATTTCATAAGTCATTTCATGCTACATGGTTGTAGTATATTAACTCTTTGCTAATTGCTGTGTCTCAAAGGCTCTGGCCTCCATTAATACTTATTTCAATTCCTCTCCTGGAGATGCCATCACAGCAGTTAATCATGTATTGAGTGGGTCACATAAATGATGCAGTTCACCATAGCTGAGAATCCCTTAAAATGTCATACTTATTTCTATAGATTTCACCCATTTTAAACAGACTGGCTTATCCTTGGTTGCTTTCACTGCTTGGAGTTTGCCCTTGTGGAGGGGAATTGTGGGTAGAATTGTCCACATCATTAAAAAATTTACTATTATTATTATTTTTATTAACTAAACTCCAGACTTTATTCTAATTTCATAGTTTTCCACTAAAGCCCTTTCCAGTTCAGGATCCAATCTAGGATGCCACATGGCATTTAATAAAATATTATTTTTAATTGTACAAAATGCATGAATATATTTCCCCTTTAAAAAGTGGGAACATAACTGATAGGGCTGAAAGTGTCCTTTGCCTGCCACCTCTAACCTGAGCCTCTTTGCTCTTCTGTGGAGATAATACTGAAAATCTGACCTTCCCCTCAGCTCTCTCATTCTCCCCTCTTTTCTCTCATGGCTGGTTTCTTTCTTTGGATGAGTACTTATAATTAAATCTGTGAATGTTATATTCCTGTGTGACGGGACATCACAGTACCCTCTTCCCTCACTGCCCTTTTTTCTTACTGTCTTCCACATTTTGAATAATGTGAATGTACTGTTTTTATAATGTATATACATTAACAAAAAAAAAAGCTTCAAAGGGTAGCTGTCATAAAGAAGATGGAAATGACAGCAGTCCAGATGTAGGTACACACAGGTGAGGCCAGTGCCCAGGTGTAGGCATAATGAGTACAGTTGAATCAGGAATGGGAATGGCCCATCCTGGGTGGAGTTCTGATAATTAAAGGTATGTGCTTTGGTCCATGTAGGAAACCAGTCTGCATAATAACTAACTCTGTTATAATAAGCTTCACTTTCTATTGTCTATCTGAAGTCGAAATAGATGCCCTTTCTCAAACCCCTACAGTTCTAAATATTTACTTGGTGCTTGCCAGTTGCCTATCACTTTATTAAATTCTTTGTAAGACGTGAATTATGAGGAAGTTCTTGCCCCGAAGGCACTGACTATCAGAGTTGTATTTGTATAGTTGTATTTTGGTCAGTGACATTTCCAGGTGGGCTCAAGGGGTGGGGTTTGTGAATCTCTAAGGAGGTGTAGGTGTAAGAATGTGAGCACATTATTGGCAGGAGGCTGGATTGGAAGGGGAAGATTCTGAACTCAAAATCGAAGGATGAGAGACTTCTGCCTCTGAGCTGAGTGTTTAGAGAAGTTGTTTCACTTCTTGGAACCTTCCTCCTCCTTCTTTGAAGGGGGATAATAAACCCTCCTGCTTGGCATGTTATGAGGATTTGGTGAGTACCTCGAAGTCCCTGCAAGCACTTTATCAGCTGTTGTACCAAGGTACCATTCTAATTTGTGGTCATAACCACTTCTGCTGAGCTGCCTTTCAGCTGAGCCGTGCAGTTCAGTCTTCAGGTACTGCTTGATCTAGCTTGCCTTTCTCTCTGGATCTTACAACTTTTCTTGGCTTTTAGATCCAGACAAGTGAGAGTCACACTCTGCGTCAGTTCCATTTTACCTCCTGGCCTGACCATGGCGTTCCCGACACCACTGACCTGCTCATCAACTTCCGGTACCTTGTTCGTGACTACATGAAGCAGAGTCCTCCTGAGTCACCGATTCTGGTGCACTGCAGGTATGCAGATGGCTGTCCATGTGTGACAGATTTCAAACGTACTTATAAATATGGACACTTTGGGGAAAAAAAAAAAAACCCCTAAGAGGGAATGCAATAGGTATTTACAAATTCAAGAAAGGTTTGGATAAGGGACCAATAAGGAATTAGGGCTTATTCCCTAAGCCTTTGACTTTAGAACGGGGGTTGGCAAACTATAGCCTGTGGGTCAGATCTGGTCACCTGCCTGTATTTAAAACAAAATCATAATATATTTAAGTTTCTTTCTTATTTGTAATATTTTGTTTTGAAATATTTCAACCTTACAAAAGTATGGAGAATAATAACAATTTAATCAGGCACAACATGATGCCATATATGTTTCTTTTTGTTAATAATACATTACAGATATAATTAAAGTCTCTGCTTACTAGTCTCCTATCCCATTCGCCGCCTTACATAGGTGAATGTGGTCCTAAAGTTGATCTGTATCATTCCCTTCTGTGCTTTTATATTTTATTACATATGTACGCAACTCTATGGTTTTATATAGTTTAAACTTTTACCAGATTTTATAATGTATGCATCATTCTGAAACCTGTTTTGTTTAGCATTTTGGTTTGCTATTTAACAATGTTGAAACACATAACTCTAGTTCATTTTATTTATTTAAAAATATTTTTTCCACATGTAAAAACTGCATGTAAACTAATGAATACAACGTAATGAATACAACAATGATGAGTTTGGAGATGAGTATACCCCTGTGAAACCATCACCACAGTCTCTTTGGCTGTCTGTTTTTGTAAATACAGTGTTATTGGAACACAGCCATGTCCATTTGGTTACATATTGTCTATAGTTACTTTTATGCTGTAGTGGCAGAAAGAGTTGATTTGCAAAGTCTGAGAAGCTGAAGATATTTACTCTCTGGCCCTTAACAGGAAAAGTTTGCCACCCTCTCCCCCAGAACAATAGGAAATTAGCTTTGAAGCTGAAGGAATTGATTTTAGGACAGAAGAAGGGAGGGGCTTTGTTGCCCTCTGGGGAGTAAATTGATGAAACTCGCCATCCTAGATACAGTGGCGACTTCAATGGGACTGAGATTCAAGACGCTCTAGCAAGGTGTTTTACTTGTGGCATTTGATGTGAAAGTAACTTTAGGACTTGGGCCCCAGTTCTAAGCTAGCACAGTCTGACTTGAAAGGTTTCAATTGAACCAATTGGTAATGGTCCTGGGCTTGCCCCTCAAAGCCTGATAGCAGAGGAGAGCAAGATATATGTATAAGTGGGGAAATGGGAGTTTTACAGTAGAGGCAACCCATGCTGACATGTGCTCATTTGCCCTTCTTTTCAGTGCTGGGGTGGGAAGGACGGGCACTTTCATCGCCATCGATCGTCTTATCTATCAGATAGAGGACGAGAACACTGTGGATGTGTACGGGATTGTGTACGACCTTCGAATGCACAGGCCTTTAATGGTGCAAACAGAGGTGAGCCCAATGTCTGTGTCTGACGATCCCCCCTTCCTGTCTGTGTTTAAAAGATGGCATCATGTCACACACTTGTGTTAAAATATTCCACCCTTCCAGATCTTTCTGGCTCTTGGCTGTGAGGTGGATTTCTTTCAAGACCTTAAAGTGATGTGGGATTGAACTACCCCACGATACCTGATGCAGCGGCATAGTTGTCCTGCATTGGAGCAGCAGTGGAGCTACAAACCGAGACAGTATCAGGATTCCTCAACTTGCTGCCACTGACTCACCAAATAATCTTAGCAAGTCTCTGAACTTTGGCTTCCGGGTTTTAAACTCATAAAACTGGTCTTTTCAACTCTTGGTTTCTAAGAAGTTCTGACCATTCTTAAAATAAGCTAATGAAATGGACTTATCAAATATTAATGATACGAAATAGGATAATGCTGCTTTAAGCTTTAACACAGCAATATATCCTCACCCTGCCTTGTAAATGTTAAAAACATCAATCATCATGGCTGCGGGAGGATGGTGACCAATTGGGAAAATGCATGCTTAATATCTACAGTGTCACTTTTGTAAAATTGTTGGGTTTGGCTTTCCCTGAAATGTTCCTGATAAACTATGTGTTCAAGGCATGTTCTCAACACGTGTATTGGGAAATAACCTTCCTCAAAGCTGTCGGGATGAATGCTCCCTGGCCAGGATAGAGCAGAATATTAATCTTGTATCAGGCCATCACCCTGAACCAATTCAGAACTCTATGAGTATGTGCTGTGTTTCTGAGTCCAGCAGGGAATGTTCTGGAGGCCTGGGTGCATTGTGTGCTTTGGGGTGGTGCAGCATGGCTGTGGTGGGAAGAGTGGAAGTCACCTCCTGCGTTGGTGGGGACAGAGATCTTCTATTTTCTGCTGTAATTAATATATAGAGTCGTAGTTGTCAGTCTTTTATCCGCTTTTGAGAAACACAGAAATCTTATACCTGCTTACAAATGTTCTCATCCCTTTTTAAAATATTTTGAAAATAATATAAATTTGTTCATATCAAAAAAATTTAACAGTACAGGATTATACAGAGGACATTTTTCTCTTTTACTTTTTCTTCCCCAATTCCACTCCCTAGAGGTAGCTAGTGTTTACAGCTTGCATGTATCTTTACAGGCTTTTTATGTACCTCTTTTTTAAAAATGTACACACACACACACACACACACAGACACACACAGAGCATATTTTAAAAATTGGATCTTATTTTGTAGGTAATGCTGCCCTGTGATGTTTTTCTCCTCTAACAGCATTATGGATATCTTTCAGCATACACCCTTTCTTCCTCTTTTTTTTTTTTTTGCGGTACGCGAGCCTCTCACTGTCGTGGCCTCTCCTGCCGCGGAGCACAGGCTTCGGACGCGCAGGCTCAGCGGCCATGGCTCACGGGCCCAGCCGTTCCGCGGCATGTGGGATCCTCCCGGACCGGGGTACAAACCCGTGTCCCCTGCATTGGCAGGCGGACTCTCAACCACTGCGCCACCAGGGCCTGTCTTCCTCTTTTTAATGGCTACCTGCAGATTCTGATGTGCTTGCCTGAAGCATGGGGACCTTCAGGTCTACCCCAATCATTACCCCTGTCTCTACACCCCCTTCAGAATGGGGACCCCCAACTCGGTCCTGATCATCCCCCTTTAACCTACCCCCTCTGTTGAGAATCACAGCTTATTCATTCTCCACATCCTCCCTAGCCAAGAAAACCCTGCTGGACTTTTTAGTGCATCATTTCCTCCATGTTCTTTCTTTGCCCTTCCCCAAGATTCTGGTACTTTTCCTTGGTGCGGGGAGGTGCGGGGAGTGTGCCGCTCTCATTGAGAACCGTTAATGATGAGAACCTTGCTGTCTGTGGTTTCAGATTTCACCACTATGTTATTACCCCTTGACCTACGTGAACTTGGAGTGTTCGCTGTGGGGTGGGTGGGGTTGGAGGGCGGTAATCTGTTTGAAAAAAACCTTGGGTGCGCATCTTCAGGACCTGTGCTCATTTGTTTTCTCTTTCTTTTTCTAACAGGACCAGTATGTTTTCCTCAATCAGTGTGTTTTGGATATTATCAGATCCCAGAAGGACTCGAAAGTAGATCTCATCTACCAGAACACAACTGCAATGACAATCTACGAAAACCTTGCACCAGTGACTGCGTTCGGAAAGACAAATGGTTACATTGCCTAAATTCCAAAGGAAAACCTTTCTGGAATTAACCAGACCGTCACACCCACAGCAAAGGAAAATGCCCCGATGTTGACATGTTTTTATATGTCTAGTATCCTAATTCTTTGTTCTGTTTTGTTAGAACTAATTTGAGAGTGTGAAGCTGCACATGTGAAACATGACAAATGAGAAGTTGGGGCTGTCAGGGGCTGTGGATGGGTGGTGAGCAAATCAACTATGTTTCTGATTGTCAGTGGGATGAGTTCACTTTTTTTTTCTTGAGAATTACAGAACACCAGGAAAAGTGAGCTATGATTTTTTTTTTTTCTTTTACAAGACATTCTTTTTTAAAAAGACTATTTTATATGATTCACATGCTAAAGCCAGGATTGTGTTAGGTTGAATATATTTTAAGTATCAGAGGTCTATTTTTACCTACTGTATCTTGGAATCTAGCTGATGGAAAATACATAATAGTGGATGATTACCATGTAGGGAGGGCTACATGGTACCTCTCCTGCCCGGGTTTTCTATTTGAACATGTGCCTTTTCTGAATTATGCTTCCACAGGTAAAACTCAGTAGATCTCTATTTTTGTATTGAATCTCATAATTGGACTATGTGGAATATTTAAACAGTAGTTTAGTGCCAGAGGTTCAGCCTTCTTAGTAACATTCCTGTTCTCATTTGATTAGAGGAGATCCTCCCCAACTTCCCCCATCCCCTGTCTTGTGCCCTATTCTTTCTTCCCTTTTCCCCTCCTATTTTTCCCCAAAGACACTTCTGATGGCCACATTTTCTGCCCATTGGTTGGGCAAGAGTGGAAACTAAATTATCACCGTGAGAATTTCGGGGTGGGGGAAGGTCAGGGGGAAGCAGAGGAACCCTTCAGTGACACAATAATCTTTTATTGTCCCCATTTGATCTTTTTTCTCATTTCTGTATATGGTAAGAAGGATTATTTAAAGGTGCAATATGTGACTTAGTGATTCATGATGCTCTAGGTTTTTAGTAACGTTTTACTCAGGTTGGCATTTTATGTGTCTCTGTGTGTCCGTGTATGTGTGTGTGTTTTTAAAAGCGTGGCAATCTGCGAACACTTCCGTGTGAAAACAGTGTCAGATGAATCCCTCCTTCCGTAGAGTCTACTGGCTTTAGTCTGTATCTGCAGTGACACATACCCTTATCTGCTGTATATATATATACTAAACTCTTAAAAACAGTCATTCCTTGGAACTGAGGTGTACAAAGTTCAAATTTGTATCAAAGATGTAATTATTATTTTTAAAACTTCTTTTCACTATACTGCTGCTGTAATTACTTTGATTTTTTAAAGTGTAGATTGATTTTTGTTGTTGTTGTTTTTGGCTTTCAGGTATGTGTATCCACCGAGAATTTCAGAATCTATGTGGATTTATTTTATTGGTACATAATCTGTAAAATTCTCAAGGCATTAACATGAAAGGATTTGTTTCTTTTTATTTTATATTGTGGCTCAGGTTATATTTTGAAGATGTGTTGAGTTTCTCCTCCAACAGGCAATGAAGTGTACAAGGTCTTATGAAGGAATGACCAAGTCCCTGGAGTCCTGTGGCCGTTTCCCACAGTCATAAATCCTGCTGTAAACATAGGACGATGTGTCCTATTGAAAACGGGAGCGGCGTGCCCTGGTCACCGTGGATCTGTGGGATCCTGTCTCCTGACCCTGCCATGCTCCTTAACTCACCGGCACTTTGATCACTGACTGGACAGTTGGGTATCTTAGGGTCACGAAGGGGGAACCACCGCGTACAGAAAGCCCTTGATTCGTTTCAGAGGTCGGGTGCTGCACGTCTTTTGTCTCCCTCTCCCTTTGAGGTACTGAAAGGAATAAAGGAGAAGTCGGAATGGTGGTGTGTTTTGGGAGAACCTTACTTCCCAAATGGAAATTGCACTTTTTGCTGAATCCTTTGCTCTCTTTGGTAGAAAGCAGTTTGTTCGGTATCAGGCCCTTCGAGGAGTGGGCTGGCCAGGCCAGGCCAGGCTGGGTCCTCCTCTTTGGCTCTGAAGGTCTGCATCAGGGAAGCGTGCTGTCCCAGGGTGTTGAGTGAAGCTGGGTTTGGGCGATTGCTTCCAAGCCTTCACACTTGGAAGGCTGCCCCTTGCATGCGGATCTTGGAGGGTTCCATAACTTCTTCAGGGGTCCCTGTTCAGGCAGCAGTTCTGTGGGTCACACCCCTTCCCACTCCAATTTGTCAGGAAACCACGGTGATGGGTGCCAGTGTACCAAATCCCATGTAGATGTACTCCCTGCCCACATCACTGCTGCTGCCGTGGAGAAGTCGGAGGGAAGGACTTAACTCGAAAAATGCCTTTAAAAGATGAAAGCAACAATAATCATAAACATATTGTGTCAAAATGCAAAACCCAGAAATCTTCCTCCCTTCCGCCTGGGATGATCTTGGGAAATGGGCAGCAGCCACTCTCAGACGTCATTCCTAATCCTGGGAGGAAGGCTTGTGGTGGAGAGGCCTGGATTCCAAATGGGCAGGTCACACGGAGGTCACGATGCTTCTTTGCATCCTGAAGAGACCTGGCGATGGGCCAAGGGTTGGGTCGGGGAGGGGGGGGAATTGGTGAGGGCATTTATAGCACAGTGAAAAGGGAAGATTAATGTGTAAATATAAAGGACACCCGGGCTGGGGGTTGGTCCCTGAAAAGAGAAAGTGCTTTTGAGTTCCTGCCCCCAGCCCTTCCAGGAACAATGGAACAGTGAACAGTGAACCAAACTTTGAGGAGTCCAGTGGAATCATGGGGATGGTGTGATCGCCCTTGCTTAGTATTTGACAGTTGCATACAGAAAACCATCCAGGATGGGATGAGTTAGTTTGGGGGATTTGGGCCATTGATATCTTCTCCCAAGAGCAAGGACGTTTTGTCTGCAAAGTTAAATCTCGTGATGATTGGCACCAGTAGGAAGTGACATTTGGGTCTGTTCCCTGTGGCCATGTAACAACCATTAGATTTTGACATAATTGACTCCGCTGGTTTTGGGCATCACCAGGTCATAGGCTCCTGGGGTTGGGGCCAGCTATGCAGATGGTTCATGTTCGCTTTTCATCTGGGATGAAAAAGCCTGGTTTTCTTTTGAAATGCTTGATTGCACTTGCAGAGCTAATAAACAAGTCTTGGTGACTGATGTTGATTTGCCTCCAAAGTCCAAGTTCTGAGTTTTCAGACTATGTGTAGCAGTCGAGTATTTAACATACTGTAGCTTTTTTTCCCTTGGGGACACCTATGAATAGGATATGTTGATGTGGACTCTAAAACTGTAATTTTCTTGTAACTATTTTGGAATGATGCATATTTCTAATGTTTGTTATACTTGTACAGAGTACTGCTGTTGGTTGCTTTTTTTTGGTTTGTTTTTTAAGGAAAAAAATGGCCTGAAAAATCATTTTTTTAAAAGACATAAATACCAAATATAAAAATTGTCAACACATCATGCCTCTGTTTGACTCTCCCCCTCCTTGCTTTATGTCCACATCTTTTCACTTATCGAGTTTAGTTTCCTGCTTTCAGCTGGGGCATCCTTAACAAAAACACGTTTCCCTTGGGATTTTCCCACATCGTTTTGGTTTGCTAGGGCTGCTGTAACAAAGTACAACAGACTGGGGGGCTTAAACAACAGAAATTTATCATCTCGCAGTTTTGGAGGTTAGAAGTCTGAGATCAAGGTGTCAGCAGGTTGGTTTCCTCCGAGGCCTCTCTCCTTGGCTGGTGGACGACCATCTCCCCCTTTGTCTTCACATGGTCGTCCGTCTGTGTGTCCTAATCTCTTATAAGGACAGCAGTCACTATGGATTACAGCGCACTCTAATGACCTCATTTTACCTTACTTACCTCTTGAAAGAGTCTGTCTCCAAATAACAGTTGCATTCAGAGGCACTGGGCGTTAGGACTTTAACATATGAACTTTGGGGGCACATAATTCAGCCCAAAACACACATGGAGGGTGATGAAGTGGAGACCTGGGGGAAGTGAGTGTGCAGCTAAGGTGTGGCTGCCTGTGCTCACAGAGGGTCAGACGTGGGTCTGCAGATGGACAGACACCCACTTGGGGGTGGCTTATATGCCTTAGGCAAGCCTCCAGAATTTTTAGAGGGTTTTCTGGTTGATGGATTTGGGGAATCTCAGAATTGCTGGGAGACTGTGGCAGTTTGGGTACTTTTTCTTTCATCTCGCTCCCTTATGCCTGATGCAAACTCTAAGTAGACAGAGATGATTCTAAGATCTCTCTTATTCCTCTTGCCCGAAACAAATTAATCCATTCAACAGTGATGTACTGAGTACCTACTATACACCAGCCACTATACCTTGGTGGCTGAGGGTTCTACTGTGAACAAAATGGGCAGAAATCTCTGCCCTCATGGAACTTACATCCTGGTAAGAGGAGGCAGACAAACAACATATGTAAATAAAATCTTTAGTATGTTAGATGGTGAAAATAAGGAGAAAAATAGCATTTCACTCCCAGATGCACCAACTGGTTTTCACACACAAGGCAGTGCAGCTACATCGTGTCAAGGAGAAAGTGTCACAGCACGCTCTCCACTCAACCCCTGACTTATTTACTGTTTGGACGGCGGCAGTGCCCACTCCTCGGGTCCATCAGGGACACAAAGGGTGAATGCAGCACAAGTCCTGCCCGTAAGAAGTGGACAGTCTAGAGGGAGTGGCCAGGGGCACGTGTGATGCAAACGCACAACAAACCCCATGAAATACTGGAGGCGATAAAGGAACAGGTGACCTGTTGGTCCCAGGAGCATAAGGGGGGGTGGCATGTGAGGCAAGTCTTAAGCAGGATTTTAGTTGGAGGATATAAGGGGGGAGGCAGGGGGTGAATGTGCCCCGTTGGAGGATGGTGAGGGCTTCAGGATGAGGGCGTGCAGGGAGGGGTGAGGTGAGGTGAGCTGAGGTTGTGCCTGATGACCCTGGCGGGGAAGGGCTCTAGGATTGTAAGCCTGGTTGACTAAAACCGT